CCACAAAGGGAAGGCTGGGATTGAGTTTGGGGGTGATGACTCATAATGGGGGTTCAAAAAATTTGGGGGGGGGATTTATTTTTTTTAATTTTATTCCTTTTTTGTTTCTTTTAAAATTTTCCATTTTAAGTTGGTTATTTCTGATTTATATTTAAAATCAAATAATGATGATATGGTAGGAGATACACACCAAACAGGATGTGTAAATTATTATATAATAAGTATTGTGCAATAGCAAGAAATTTTCAATTGCACAGTATTGCACAATAGCAAGAAATCTTCAATTGCACAGTATTGCGCAATAGCAAGAAATCTTCAATTGCACAGTATTGCGCAATAGCAAGAAATATCCAATAGCACAATATTGCGCAATAGCAAGAAATTGTCAATTGTACAGTATTGCGCAATAGCAAGAAATATTTAATAGCACAGGATTGTGCAAAAGAAGATACTTCCTATAAATTGCTTATTTCTTGACCAATTTCAATGGGGTTTTATTCTTGATTTCATGGGGTTCTTTAATATGCTGAATCTAACCGTGTATTTAGTTTTTGGATTTTGGGCCCCGTTTTTAAATTGGTCCACATTGAGGTCCAAAGGGTCCAAAATTAAACTTTGTTTGATTTCATCAAAAATTGAATTATTGGGGTTCTTTGATATGCCGAATCTAACTGTGTATTTAGATTCTTAAATTTTGGTTCCGTTTTCAAATTGGTCTACATTAAGGTCCAAAGGGTCCAAAATTAAACTTAGTTTGATTTTAACAAAAATTGAATTCTTAGGGTTCTTTGATATGCTGAATCTAAACATGTATTTAGATTTTTGATTATGGGCCCAGTTTTCAAGTTGGTCCAAATCGGGGTCCAAAATTAAACTTTGTTTGATTTCAACAAAAATTGAATATATGGGGTTCTTTGATATGCTGAATCTAACCATGTATTTAGATTTTTGATTTTTGGGCCCCGTTATCAACTTTGTCCACATTGAGGTCAAAAGGGTCCAAAATTAAACTTTGTTTGATTTCATCAAAAATTGAATTATTGGGGTTCTTTGATATGCCGAATCTAACCGTGTATTTAGATTCTTAATTTTTGGTTCCGTTTTCAAATTGGTCTACATTAAGGTCCAAAGGGTCCAAAATTAAACTTAGTTTGATTTTAACAAAAATTGAATTCTTAGGGTTCTTTGATATGCTGAATCTAAACATGTATTTAGATTTTTGATTATGGGCCCAGTTTTCAAGTTGGTCCAAATCGGGGTCCAAAATTAAACTTTGTTTGATTTCAACAAAAATTGAATATATGGGGTTCTTTGATATGCTGAATCTAACCATGTATTTAGATTTTTGATTTTTGGGCCCCGTTATCAACTTTGTCCACATTGAGGTCAAAAGGGTCCAAAATTAAACTTTGTTTGATTTCATCAAAAATTGAATTCTTGGGGTTCTTTGATATGCTGAATCTAACCATGTATTTAGATTTTGGATATTGGACCATAATAGGTGAATGTCCAATTTAAAATTTTTAAGTTCTTAGAACACATTCAATCTGTGTTAGAAACCTATGCTGTGTCAAATATTTAATCACAATCCAAATCCAAAGCTGTATCAAGCTTGAATGTTGTGTCCATACTTCCCCCAACTGTTCAGGGTTCGACCTCTGCGGTCGTATCAAGCTGCGCCCTGCGGAGCATTTTATTGTAACTTCCAGACATAACTTGTTTGTTAGTGTATGGATCTCTCTGACATTGTACCACAAGGTTCCATATCACAAAGAGAATGCTGGGATTAATTTTGGGTGTAATTGCTTCCAAATTTAAGGAATTAGGGGCAAAAAAGGGGCAAAAAACGAGCATTTTTCTAGTTTCATGACAATAACTTGTGTGTAAGTGTATGGATCTCTCTGACATTGTACCACAAGGTTCCATATCACAAAGGAAATGCTGGGATTGATTTTTGGGGTAATTGCCTCCAAATTTAAGGAATTAGGGGCCAAAAAGGGGCAAAAAACAAGCATTTTTCTAGTTTCATGACAATAACTTGTGTGTAAGTGTATGGATCTTTCTGAAATTGTACTACAAGGTTCCATATCACAAAGGGAAAGCTGGGTTTGAGTTTGGGGGTAATTGCCCTAAACGTTTAGGAATTTGGGGCCAAAAAGGGGCCAAAAAACAAGCATTTTTCTAGTTTCCAGACAATAACTTGTGTTCATATGTATGGATCTCTCTGAAATTGTACTGCAAGGTACCATACCACAACAGGAAGGCTGGGATTGAGTTTGGGGTGATGAATCATAAGGGGGTTCAAAAAATTTGGGGGGTGGGATTTATTTTTCCTTTTTTTTCTTTAAAATTTTCCATTTTAAATTGGTTATTTCTGATTTATATATAAAAGCAAATAATAATGATATGGTTTGAATAGGTAAATCAAAATTTTTTTAAGTTCTTAAGACCACATTCATTCTGTGTCAGAAACCTATGCTGTGTCAAATATTTTATACCAATCCAAATTCAGTGCTGTATCAAGCTTGAATGTTGTGTCCATACTTGCCCCAACTGTTCAGGGTTCGACCTCTGCAGTCGTATCAAGCTGCGCCACAGCGGAGCATTTTATTATCCATAATTTTGCCCCTGCCCCAAAAAATAAATTAATTAAAAAGTGATCACACATGAGCTGTGACCAAAATACTTGAAATGTTAACTATTGGATGTTGAGCAAGCAACAATCAATCAATCAAATATGAAGGTTGATTAAGGACCATTTAGTACAAGCATGTTTAACTTTCCGTTTTCCTGGGTAATTTCTCCCAATTTTTTGCGGAAAAAGCTTGATTTAAGGTTTTCCATTTGAAACATCCTGTGGATCTTTTGAAAAAATACATGAAAAATCTCTATTCTGAATTATGAGCCATATTTAATGAAACTAGGCCAGGATCATAGCAAGTCTTTAGTTTAAATATTGTATCCATTTTGGTGACAACAAGGCTATCACTAATACAAATGGAACATAGGGTAAACATCAGTTTAGGAAAAATAGTGTTCCTGTCCCTTTATTTTTGTCTCCCCTGCCAGGCATTTTGTTTCTGGTGTCTGCAACATCAACAATTTGTTAAAAGCAAGTGAATAGGTCAGTTTAAGGGAAACCACTAATGGTAAGTCAATGATATTTGATAATATGCAGTTATATAAGCATTGGCACATCTCATTTTCTTTGAGATTATTTCACCCAGGCCCTTAAGTAATGGTCCATTGACTGAATCTTATGCATAGCTTGCAACGTAAATTTTTTGAATACGTCCTATTTAAGGGAACCACTAATGGTTTGGTTTGCAGTTGTATTAGCATATGCCCTCGTTTTCAAGGAGGTTATTAGGTCTCGCCCCTTGTAGATTTTGGTTATACATTAAAATGAATGAAACAACAACCCAACCACATGAAAAAAACAAAAGACAACTTGAGGCCAATATACAGTCTTCAAGAACAAAAGTGTTTATACAATACCAGCATTTCAAATTTTAAAAAGCCCAGAGTAAAAAAAAAAATCATAGATCTGCTATCAACAAATTCTAACTGACTAATAAAATTCAGTGCTTAAGAGAACCACTGAAGGTGAGCCTGGCAAGGGAGATGTACATGAACATGTGATAGGGTTAAAACTATGTTTGGTGATCTCAATCTTCCCTCATTATCGCAATTACCGGGAAAATAAAAGATGGCGCAAAAATCACTTAACTGTATAAAAGATAGAAGCACAACTACAGAATACAATACTGTATCAAAGGATGCTCCCTGTAATTGAAAGCACTTATTTAAACCTGCTAATATGAAATTTTGTCGTTATATACACTAATATCAGTGGCTGTATCTCAAAATAGATTTCGTACAGCAACATCATTATAACAAAAAGTACATGAAGACATCTGAGAAATGCTATTTTGATATGATTCTAATATTGCTGATATTTTATAGCTATTGTCTGTCAGAGATTTTTTACCAAAGTGCAGTATGTGCATTGTTTAACCTAACCTAACCATAGGTAAATTAGCTGTTCTATCCAACTGCTGCAATAACAAACTTTTAATGCATTGATATTACTATTATCCTATTTTCACTGCAAATAGTGATTTACCAGTATTTGCATTTTTAATTTATATAAAATCTGAATCAAATCTGATACAACTGACAATAAATTCAACTTTTCAGTACAAACAGCTACAAGTTTAAGTAGTAATTTAAATAAAGAGAAAACTGATTTATAGAGGTGTATAAATATTACACCTAATGGGTTTCAGTAACTTATTGTTTAAAACTTTTACAATAATTATCCAGCCAGATTGTGTGGCTTGTGATTATGATAAAGATTAACTAGCCATGTTGGAGAATTGTTGATGCAGTTATCTATTCAATTTCAAAGAAATAATCTAGCCTGATTTTGTTGTTTATATATAATAACTCTGGGACTTAATAACATGTTATATTAGGTCACAGGAAAACTCGATCGCCAGGAAGAATTAAATGTTGATACAATTGTTTATTACTTTACAACAAGGATTTGTATACAAATCCTTGTTTACAATGATTATATCCAGCCTGATTCTGTGACTTATAAAGATGGGGGTTAATTATTTATGCAGTGATTATTTGAGAGTCTGGATGGGGGAAATTCATTTCTGTTTTGTGTTAAATTAAGGTTTTGTTTTCCCCTATTCTGAAAGGGACGACCATTTGATTTTTCTGGGGGGAGGGCAGGAGGATTTTGAAAATAAATACCCCCTTCCCCCTTTTATTTTGCCCATTATTCTCTATTCTTTATATTTTAGCACCAAATTATACTCTTCTCTTTTTTGGCTTTAAAGTATTTTCTCTAATCTTTATTTTTTACCCATTTTTCTGCAGAATGGGCCCATTATTCTCTATACTATAAACCCCATCCAGACCCTCTCAAATGAACTTCCGGATTCACCGAACTTGTTTCAGTTTTACGTATATTTTTGTATATCCGGTTTGTGGTTTCTCTTTCGCTTTGAATTTTTGAGATTTTTAATCATGTTGACTTATAGAAACCCCTTTGACGTTTAATACAAAACCTCAAAGGTAAGAATTTCCTGCAGTTCAAGTTGCCGTATAGCTATGGAGTGACTTGGTTACTCAACTTACTGAATACATTGTAAAATCAGTAAGGATACTTTAAGTCTTTATTTGTAAAACCAAAACATTTGCTTTACTCGCCTTTAGGTTCAATGTTAAGATACCAATTTGAGCAACTTTGGTAAAACTTAGAGAGAATCCATTGCTGTCAAATTTCAGTGTACATAGTTTTTTGTTGAGCCTGCGACTTTTGTCGCAGAAAGCTCGACATAAGGATAGTGAGGCGGCGGCGGCGTTAACTAACTTCTTAAAGGCTTTATAGTTTAGGAGGTGGAAGATATGGATGCTTCATACTTTGTATATAGATGCCTTATGTTACGAAGTTTCCGTCTGTCACATGTCCATTGTCCTTGACCTCATTTTCATGGTTCAGTAAATACTTGAAAAAAAAGTTCAGATTTTTTGTAATGTTAATTTCTCTCTTATTATGAGTAATAGGATAACTATATTTAGTATGTGCGTACCTTGCAAGGTCCTCATGCCTGTCAAACAGTTTTCACTTGACCTCGACCTCATTTCATGGATCAGTGAACAAGGTTATGTTTTGGTGGTCAAGTCCATATCTCGGATACTATAAGCAATAGGTCTAGTATATTTGGTGTATGGAAGGATTGTAAGGTGTACATGTCCAACTGGCAGGTGTCATCTGACCTTGACCTCATTTTCATGGTTCAGTGGTTATAGTTAAGTTTTTGTGTTTTGGTCTGTTTTTCTTATACTGTATGCAATAGGTCTACTATATTTGGTGAATGGAATGATTTTAAGGAGTACATGTCCAACTGGCAGGTGTCATCTGACCTTGACCTCATTTTCATTGTTCAGTGGTCAAAGTTAAGTTTTTGAGTTTTGGTTTTTTTTTCTAATACTATATGCAATAGGTCAACTATATTTGGTGTATGGAAATATTTTATGATGTACATGTCAGTCTCGCAGGTTTTATTTGACCTTGACCTCATTTTCATGGTTCATTGCTCAGTGTTAAGTTTTTATGTATTCGTCTGTTTTTCTTAAACTATAAGTAATAGGTCAACTATATTTGTTGTATGGAAGGATTGTAAGCTGTACATGTCTGCCTGGCATGGTTCACTTGAACCTGAACTCATTTTCATGGTTCATTGGTCAATGTTTAGTTCTCTTGGTTAAGTCTGTTTCTTAGAAACTATAAGCAATAGGTCAACTATATTTAGTGTATTGAATGATTGTAAGGTGTACATGTATTTCTCGTTTGGTTTATATGACCTTGACCTCATTTTCTTGGATCATGTTAGGTTTATGTGATAGTTGTAGTAAAGCTTTATATTAAGGACTATCAACATAATATCAATGGTTAGTAAAGAAGGCGAGACATTTCAGTGTATGCACTCTGGTTGGTTAAATCCATCCCTAATAAAAATGCAATCCTTTATAATAATACACACAAATAACATAATTGCCATGGCCTAAAAATTATAATCCTGGTCCATGTGCAATATCATTTCTGGCAAACTTAATAAGTCACATGATTTCATAAATTTGTCCCATTACATGATGAAGGTCAACAAAATGGGTTCATACAATTGTCTCTGTCCTCCTGCAAGGGCATGTAAACTTTTGACTTCTCAACCCTTCACTGGCTTTAGCGTAAATAACAAATTATAGATAAATTTGATGTAAAAAAGACTATGGTGTTGATAAAATATCTGTGAAACTAATGAAATGCTGTAAACCAGCCATTATCATGATTATTAAACCTACAACATACATTATTAATTTATCTTTTGAATAATGTTATTTCCCAGATAGGCTGAAGGAGGCACAGGTTACACCAGTTTTTAAGAAGAGTGATCATTTCCCTGAAAAATTAATACAGACTTGTTCACATTCCCCTTACCCCTCTAAAACTTTTTCAAAGTGCTAGCAGAGCAGTTATCAGAATTTTTCGAAATCATCTTTGATAATTTTTTTATGTGCATTCAGCATGTTCAGGAAAGGACATGGCTGTCAAACAATCCTACTCAAACTTCTGGAAGATTGGAAACTTGCTTTAGAGCGTATTGAATATTGGGCTGCTATTCTTATGGATCTGTCCAAAGCGTTTGACTACCTACCCCATGACATTCTTGTATATGTAAACTGTCCTGCAATGGCCTATCTGAGAATGCTACTATGTTATTTACCATCATATCTTTCTAGTGGAAAACAACAGATAAAAATAGGAGGTATTGTTAGTAGCTGGGCAAATGTACTGAAAGGTGAGCCATAAGGATCAATATTGGTCGCATTACTTTTTAATGTTTCATTAACAATATTTTTTATTTGATTAAAAAGGGTAACTTGTACAGCTATGCTGACAACAATACTTTGTCTATTAATTCCCCAAATTATGAGGAACTTACTACAATTTTAGAATCTGTGCGCAATATTTTGATTGATGAGTTACATTTTAATTGTGTGCAAGCAAATCCTGACGATTTAAAGCTTTCAAATTATCTCTTTTATATATAAGTTTTCTAAACAAGTTACAGAGTTGTCTTCAAATCAATATTTAAAACAGTTAGAGAAATATTAAGAATATTTTTCTAAAAGTTTTTTAAAGGGAGAGTCCCATCATTAATTTATGTGAAAATAGTTAATTCATAGATATCAGATTATCTCTCATGGAATCTTATTGACAGCATATTTTTACTTCACATTATATTGTAAAGAATATTACATGTTTTAATTCAAGTTGGTGCCTACACTGCCTATGTAGTAGAAATATAGAAAACATTTTTAAAGGAAAAGTGCGAAAACTTTAGACTTGACAATTATATAGCAATTATAAGATGACTAAACCTTACCTTTAGATGACTTTACAAATTGATGTATGTTTTAAAAATACATCTACATAATTTCAATGACAGATGTGGAACTCAAATCTGATGGAATTGTAAGTATAATTTTTTATATCACTACACATGCTTCATACTAACAACCTATGAACTAAACTGTTAAAATTACCAGTTGATCATTTAGTAGAGATAAATTCAAACTGCAATTTTGGTAAAATATTTTAGCAATTGGTATTGTCATGATTGTGAAAGGCAATTCAGACTTAATTTCTGGTCTTACAGTCTAAAAATTTCTAAAATTGATTTAAAAGTTTGGCTGCTTAACCTTTGTGCATTGAGTGTACCTGATGATGTTTATTCAAGAAAAATCTGTCATTTTCATTGAAATTATCATGAAATGTTATCATACATGTTTATAATCTGTTATGATATATGTTTATAATCATTAAGAAGGTGAATGAAAATCAGGATAAGTTCAGCACCTTTGAGGATCTTATAGTACTGAAAAATCTAATATTACAATATTTGCATAAAAATTATGTACCTGTGTCTTTTTTTGTGTTTTATATAAATATATGCATGATATGTATATATTTTATACAGTGCAGATAACTATTTTTATGGTTTTCATAGATAATCTCACAATTTGTTACCATGACAAATTTAGAAGCCTTGATTTTATCCAAGAAATGCCCACCCATTATGTTGAAAAACAAGATTTCTGACTGGCCAGCAAGAAAGTGGACACCGAATTATTTAGCCAGTGAATTGACAAATCAAAGATACAAATGTAAAATTGCTCCAAAGGATGATAATGGTAATCTTAATGTAGCTATCAAATCTGATATGCAAGAATCATGCTTAGTAAATTATTGAAATTCAGGAGCATACTACAGAATAAAAATACGTTGATTGCTTAAAGTTACTTGGACAAAAGACTTAGAAACTGGTCTAAGTGAATCCTGGACTAATCATTTTTATGTGGAATTTGAGTTTGAATTTCGTTCCGTATATATTTATAAGAAATCTAGTATTGTAATTAAACACCAATGAAATCATGTTATGCATCAGAATCTACATGAAGTTCATTCAGCTTTGGATTTTTGTGCATTGAATATTAAAAGTTAAGAGTGGCAATTCTTTTACATAAACATGTAAATAACAATAAATTGTTTTTTAAGACAAGGATATAAAAACTAGCAGATTTTCAAATTTTTTATAGTTTTGTGGGAAACAGAATGTGTCCATGAGGAGATAACTCTACAGCAGTTTGCAGAATGGAATTTGGGAAAGCCAGATGAAAATAACCCTTTGCTTCCTTACAATAGATCAGATGTCACCTGTTACATAGACTACAAATATATGAAAGATTTGTTTATTGAGAAAACAGATCACCTGAAAGTAGGATGTTAATCATGCTTATAGTCATTTGCTTTTTTTTCTGTAATATTATTATTTTTACCTCAGAGTACTCTGTTTTTACCTTTGCTGTATAATTTTCTTCAAGATTTTGTAAAATTAGCACAGTTGTATATGAGATAATTTTTTGGTACATATGGAAACTCTGTTAACACAGTCACAATTTTAATAACATTGTTTTGCTGCTAGTGCAAATTCATATTTACATCGATATTTAAAGGTTTCATAAAGAGTGAGAATTGGATATTGCTTGTAATTCCACCTAATGTAATAATGCTGCATTTTGATTGGATGAGAGACATGGTATTTTTCACCAATTTCTATGTATTGAGATTTTCTTTTCTCTGCCAGGGTATTTGTCATTAGGGAATTCCATGAGCTGGGGTATTTGCTAGCAAAAACCATGGTAGATGGGGAATACCATGTCTAAAAAAACCAAATGAATTATTTCTATTCTAATAGGAAAAATTTATGGTCATTCTTAATATACGGTTCCAAATAAAATATTTAGGATAAAAAACAGCATTTAATTTATTGAATTTAGAGTGAATGACGTAAACAATTCCGCGAACCTGTACTTTTAATGATGTCATAAATATAACTCAACGGAAACGCATTGTCAACTGGTCATAAACATAAACTAGAATCCGCGTGTATTTACGCTTCACTCAAACTGATGAACAAAGTGTAGTAGTCAGCCGAGAAACAGCTTATTATATAAGAAATTGTACGGTCAGTGACTGTACATCAAAAATGATCAGAAATGATTATACGGCCAATGCAATTTAACTGCGCAAATAGCACAGCTTCAGTATATATAAAAATTATACATTCAAGTAGAAACTCCATATGATACCCGATTACAATAAACTTTCTGGGGTCAAGATGGATACAAAGAACATTCGGTGGAATTAAACAATAATATCATGCTTACAAGGGGTATTTGGGAAAAATACCGGTTTCGAGGTATTCAAATTTCCCTCGCCTAACGGCTCTGGAAATTTGTACCTCTCAACCGGTATTTTTGGCAAATACCCCTTGTAAGCATGATATATTTGTATAATATCATCTTGAGGTAATACTTTCTTTTGATGAGACTGTACATTTTGTTTGCATTTTCAAAGGGGAACAAAACTAATCAGAAAATGAAGAAAAAAACAAATATTTCAAATTGAAAATGACATTTATGAAATGTTTTCTAGTACCCGTTTCTATAGCGATAGAAGATATAAGCGTTAAGCATAACAACAAATTTTTTAAACAATTAAAAAAAAACACATTTCAGATGAAAAAAGATATATGTTATATTTGGAAAAAATACATTTCTCCTTTGCAGGCAGTGGATTGGAGTGTTTTGGGGTTAGAAAGCAGAGATGGAAATGACAGTACTATTTGGATTGGAAGTGAAGGCTGTTACACTAATTGTCATTATGATACATATGGTTTTAATTTGGTAGCTCAGATTTATGGTAGGTAGGTACAATTTTTGGAACGATTCATTTGAACATATTATTTTCCTATAAATTAATCGAGATATCAGATAAACGTCGATGAGACAGCTATCCAACAACACAAGCTAACTAAAACATAATATTGTAAATTCAGGAATTTTTTTATGTTTTTATTATTGTGATAATTTCTACAAGAAAGGTTTCACAAAAAATAAAAATAATGAATTTTTTGTATGCAACATTTTCTGATATCACAAGAATTAATCACATTTTTTTGGTCAATTGTAACAATCATAATAATAGATGCACACAAAATTTCTGAATTTAACATTACTAGAGATCACTTCAGATTATCATTAGTTACCAGATATCCATATTGCTTAGAAAACTTTTACTAGCTCAAATGTCAATAAATGTAACAGAGATGGCTGATAATGTTAACAACACCCCCTTAAATAGCAATCAAACAATAAACCAACATATACTGCTACAACTACTGACAAGGTTCCTCACTTGGGTAAGGCAGTTATAAATGATGGAGTTACATAAAAAATTGTGAGTATGAAATTTTTCCTGTATGACGATACTGTAGTAAGTAATGGCAGAACTAAAAAATTCTTTAAAAATCAATTCAGAAAATAAGAATCAAAGTGCTTTCTATTAGAAACATATATGTATTACAAAGATATATGGACATAAATAATACTACTCAATATTTTCATCAAAATTGGATGCTTAATTAGGGCTGTTCCAAAATTTATTGGGGTGGGGGATGGGAGGCACACTAATTCAATATGTTGCATCTTCCTTAGAATTTCATAAGAATTTTTAGTAAAATATAAAATATTATATGGGTGGTGCAGGTTTTAAAAAAGTGCCACCTGTGTTTAATTCTGGAACAGCCCTTACTCAAATTATAGCTTAATGTACCGTACTTGTTTACAGTTAACTTGTCTTTCTAACAATTTATGTCAAATTTTATTACATGTACTGTCATTAAAAAGTCACAACATTGAGTATCTATCACATTTCAATTACATTTTCACATTTACAAATGACTTTTAACACAAAGCATGGCATTTTGTGTCCAAATTTCTTTAAAAGTTTAATAACTGCATCCGTATTAATATAGGAAATGAAATTTATCAGACACAATTTATCTTTTATGTCTTACATGTACTTAGTTGTTTACAATAGATATTAGAATAATTTATATATACTGAAGTAAAATAATTGTAGGAAGAGATGGACTTTATTTCCACCTTCAGATACCAAATATATGTATCCAACAAGGATCCCTTATGAGGAGTCTAGTGTTTTTAGTCAGGTCAATGTGAAAAAGCCAGATACCACTACTTTCCATCTTTTCAAGGTAGAATTAATTCTATTCAAAACTTTGATTGGAAATACATTTTTTCTATAAGGGCTATTCCATTAAAATGTATGTGGGAGGGTAGGAAGGGACTTTCAAAATATCCCTACAACCAAGAACCATTTTTTAGATAATTTTGCATAATGGTAATAGACACATATTGAAAAAACACCCATGACCCACATTCAATAATTAAACTTCCCTTCCTACCCTCCAACATACATTTTAATGGAATAGCCCTAAACTAAGGAAAATCAAATTTAGTATTTTGCTATAATCCTATAATCTTTCATACTAAAATCATATGAATCTTCTGAAGTAATTTTTTATTCTTTAAAGTAGTGAGTTCAGGTTGTATCAAGTAATTCAGGATAAAAACTTGCCTGACAATTTATCATAAAGCAAATGTGGAATGGATAGGATGATACATATAGATTCTTACAATGGTACCAGTGGATTATCAGATTTATCTAATCGAGATAGTTAAATAATCAAGTTTTTTTAAAGTCTGAGCCCCGATATTTTTAACTTTCGAGATTGGATAAAATCTGATAATCCAGGAGTAACTATGTAAGAATCTGTTTCTCTAATGATTATCAAATAAATTTTCATTTTTGATAAACGAAAATCCCCTTCTAGTGCCTTCCACGTTCCACAAAGTTGATAATTTCATTAACACCTGTTAGCACATTTTGATTCATCCAGTGAGCTGATAAAGGTTATGACTCTTAAACTCATCCAATCATCTTCTGATATCATCGGCAACCACACGTTGATTAAATTTTTTTATACAATGGGTCCATAAAGGGTTAATTTGCCAAATAATTAGAGAATGAATTTTACATTGTCAAAGTCTTCCTGAACATACATACTAAAATAAACTTGAAATATACCAAGTGCATGTGCTACCTGTTATCAAAATAATATATAAATTTCCATTTTAACTCCTGGTTTAGTTAAATGCACAAACTTTCTTCAATATATATTAGTTTGATGTGTTTTTCTTTGAATTTCAATATGCATTTTTATGAAATATTGGAAATATAAGAAACTATAAAGTTAAATGTAAAACAAGAAATGAACATTGATTCAGTCTGGTCTATTTTGGTTGAAAAATAATATCAGCATCTGATCCATTTCATAAAAATGACAATTATATTTTTAAGTGTCAGATGTGTTTCTAATTTTCAGAATTCTCATCCTCATGTGGTAATTTTAGAACCAGGAGATGTTTTATATGTACCTAGACATTGGTGGCACTTTGTTGAGAGTTTAGAAACATCTATCAGTATAAATACATGGGTAGAAATGGTATGTTCATATAGTGTGAATTGGGTAAATGGCAGACAAAATTGAATTACAGTAATTGAAAGAGGCCAAAAAGTGTTCTCATAAAATGTTCTTATTTAGATTTTGTAGGCGACATATTTCTTAATTTGCAAGAAACTGGTTATTATATCATGAATACAAAATGATGTATTTGGAACTACCCCTCAATTAAAATCAACCTGAAAATTATTATTTGGGTCTTTTTTTGTTGTGTTCCAACGGAGCAAAAAACATCTGATGTGTTTACAATTTAGAAGGGAGAAGGTAGAAGGGAGATAGTTCAATAGGCCATTTTTAGTAATTAAGGTATTATAACCTACATTGCACACACCTTACTGTGCTTATCCAGAAGGCTTTGCACAATCACTATATCAATTGCTTAAAAACGTTGCAGTATGTATTCTCCTCTACCAACTGATCAACTGGAAGAACAGTTTAGCTAATTTCTTCAGTGAAAAGTTGTTAGTGTGAAGTGAGTGCAGTGAAATAAAAATAAATTAATGCTTACCATCCAAGTCCAGTTATTTAATGTCTTTGTCATGAAATTGAAATAAAATGATCACCTACTATAATATGAGGCACTGGTTTAAAAAGGTCTGACTTGGATATGAAAACTTCTGTCTTAGTGACATTTTAAACATAATTAGTTCTAATCATTCTTTAGTTGGTCCATAGTTTATTGCTTTGTTTTTAAACAGGAAGTTTCTGATACTGTGAATATGACAGACGCATTATTCAAGAAAGTACGTTTTCTTTGATTGCAAAGAATCATTGGTTCATGGATTCTAAAATTTAGATTTCATAATTGATAAAGTACAAATCAGTGGAAAATTTGCATTTCATTGGTTTTAATGATGTGTGGTTTAAAGGAGATGTGGGATGTAAATCAATGAGAGCAACCCAATGGTAAAAATTTATAAACAGTATGCATGTAAGTATGCTCCAAATAATAATATCTTCAGTATTTGTAAATGATATTATTTTGTTTAGTTTATTCAAATTCAGGAGGAAGACAAAGATAGCCATGTGACTGAAGCTTTATCAAGAGTATTGTTTGGGTGTATGATGGACATTAAAATAGGGTCAGTTGGGTCAACCACTGATTGGATTAATCCAGGAGAGGTAATAAAATTGCACAGAATGTTCAAATGTATGTTGATGTAGAGGAGTCATAAATGATACCCTGAATATAAATTGAATGTTGCTTCTTTCAGCTTGTATTTTCATATTTAAATAAAACATAGCTACTAGAATTAAAACAAACAAAAGGTTTGTGTATTGATTTTATTTGTGAATGCTTTGTAACTTGTATGTTTAACTATTATGAGGGACAAAAAATATTGAGATTGAATACACAATCATAAAGTGTCATATAAAAAAGGCATACTGCTCCAATTATCTATTTAACACAAATCTCATGGATTCCAAATTTATGACGACACACTCGATCAGATGACTCGAACCTCCGATAAGTCGAATACTTTGTCCAGTCCCTCCGACTCAACATAACGGGGTTCGACTGTATTTGCATTTTTTAATTAACACACAGTTTGAAAAATAAATTGTATCTGCATATACAATGCTACTTTTCATGGTGATTTTGATACACAGTAGGATGCTCACAACTTACTGTTTACATATGTATGCTGATGCATGTGTTTCATGACTGGGTTAAACACAGTGGTTGTCAGCCTTATATTTGGTAAATGTTAGGCAAGCATGAAAAAGAGATTACTTAATTTGTGTAATTGGTTCTAGGACAAAAGCCTACCAGGTACCTTACATATCATCCTTACACTGTTCACTCATTAACTATATGATGAGGATAATTTTAAGCTTATCTCATAAAGTTAACTAGACCTGAAGTTAACTAATAAAGCACTAGGTATTAAGACACATTACAAAAAGTTTAGCAGAAATATTTAAAAATTTTAAACTATTTGAAAATTTAAACAAGATATGAATAAATGTGGATAGTGTTCACATGTTGACACAGATGATGCCCCCCCCCCCCCCCCTTGCATATCATATAGTTATAAAGGGACATAATTGAAGAATGGTAAAAGTGACGCTACCCAAATTTGAACTTGATCGGAGTTTTGTGGTAATAAGCATTGTGTGTAAGTCTCATAACATTTGGTTGAGGCTAACTTAAGAAGAGAACGGAAACTAAAATTTCAGCAATTTTTCTATTTGTAAACACGCATAACTCTAGAACAGTTGTGTATAAGTTTTATAACATTTGGTTGAGACTAACTAAAGTAAGAGAACAGAAACGAAAAATTCAGCAATTTTTATGTTTATAAAGGGACATAACACAAGAATGGTAAAAGTGTTGCCACCAAATTTCGTACTTAATCTGTATTATGTAGTAATAAGCATTGTGTATAAGTTTCATAACATTTGGTTGAGGCAAACTAAAGTTATAAAATGGAAACAAAAGATTTGTAATTTCTCTTAGTTTTGTGGTAATGAATATTGTGTATAGGTTTCATAATGTTTGGTTGGGGCAAACTTAAGTTACAGAATGGAAAGTAAAAATTTTGCAATCTTTCAATTTATAAAGGGGCATAACTCAATAATGGTTAAAATGACACTACCCAAATTCAACTTGATCTGTGTTTTATCAGTGGAAGTCAAAATTAAACATTGCATTGTATAAAGCATTGATTGTAGTTGATTCAACTATAATGATTGACAAAGGAAGATAACTCCAATTTTAAAAATTACTTGATATTTAGAAGAAAATAAAAATTTTGCAATTTTTCCATTTATAAAGGGGCATAACTCTAGAACGGTTAAAGTGACGCCACCATAATGCAAACTTGATCTGTGCTTTGTGATAATAAGCATTGTGTATAAGTTTCATAACATTTGGTTGAGGCAAACTTAAGTTAGAGAACGGAAACTAAAAATTTTGCAATTTTTCCATTCATAAAGGGACATAACTATAGAACGGTTAAAGTGCCGCCACCAAAATTCAAACTTGATCTGTGTTTTGTGGTAATAAGCATTGTATATAAGTTTCATAACATTTGGTTGAGGCAAACTCAAGTTAGAGAATGGAAACCAATTTTGGGACGTACATTCGTAGGTACGTACGTACGTACAGACGGACAAGGGTAAAACTTAATGCCCCCACCGCTACAGCGGGGGCATAAAAACAGTAATATTCATATATTTAATCACATCTATAGTTCATTCTGAATCGCTACATGAGGTTCTGGATGGGGGTTTCTTCATTTCTGTATTTCTTTGACCGTGATGATAATTTAACAGTTGAACATTTTTCTAAAATCTTATTACATCCTGATGTTATTAATAAGGTTAAGGAGTCAATTACAGAACCCTTTGACATGCTAAGATAATAAACACTTATAAAGACTTACTTGTTTTTTATCCTTTTCTATAAAGACAATCTGTTTATGTGTAGAAGTCATTGGTCTTTATTATGGTTAGACACTCAATATATTCTATGGCCAATATATTTCAGATGAAATACTATAAAAACTTACATATGCCTATATAATCAACTAGTTTCTGCAATAGGCAGGAATACATGAAAAACACAAAGACACATTTTTGTCTAGCCTCAGCAAAGTAACATAGGCAAGACTAAGGCATGCTGTTTCTGTCAGCGGTCTCAACAATGAATTAGTTTTTGGTTAGGTCAGTTAAGGGGAACCACTAGTGACAGGTCAATGATATTTGGTTGTATTAGCATTGGCACATCTCATTTGCATAAGAACAGGAAAACAAAAGAAAGCTTCTTGTTGTGTCTTCGATATAAAATGTTTTCTTTCTTAGTGCAATTATTAAGAAGTTACTATGTATACTTTTTTTTAAATAATTCTTAATAAGTTATTTGAAATATATATTGTTGCATAAAAAATAATAATTACTTTTTCCATTTTACAGGAAGTCCAATGCCATGATGTTAACTTCAGATATCTTCAGCAAGCTGTTGATTCATATAAGAAAGCAGGAAATAAAAAGAATCTTTATAGCAATTTAACTAAATTTGCATCTCAGATAGGAAAGTATTTTGATTTAAAAATTGCAACCAACAAAGCTGCAGCTATTCCTGGCAGGAACCAGTTAATTTTTCAGGATGTTGTTGACAGTGGAAATAATCAAGCAACTGAGCAGAGTTTGAAAAGAAAAGTCAGTACCAGTCCTAGAGATGAGTGTAAAAAACAAAGGAAAGATCTTGAAACTGAAAATTTGAATGCTGATATGGAAAGTTACCATGAATGCCTTCACCACAATACCTTATCATTTGATTCTGATTTTAGGCTTCTTGAACCAATGTCATATGATTTGTATGTAAAGGAGGTCATTTGCAGTTATCATACCGAACAAGAGACAAAGTATGATTCAGACATTGATCTACCACCATTCATGAAAAAAACATCGCAAGAATTATTGCAGAGTTGTAAGGAATGTCAATTATTATGTGACAGGACTGAATTAGAAACTGCTCAACAGTGCCAAACATGCAGCATAAAAACATCAGATACAATACAATCTACGCAACAGAACTTTGACCGTGATGACAATTTAACAGTTGAACATTTTGCTAAAATCTTATTACATCCTGATGTTATTAATAAGGTTAAGGAGTTAATTACAGAACCCTTTGACATGCTAAGATAATAAATACTTATAAAGACTTACTTGTTTTTTATACGACCGCAAAAATTTTTAATGCTCTCATGTCGTCGTCTGCGTCGTACGAAGACGCATTTAGTTTCCAGACAAAAACTTTAGTTTAAGTGAATGGATCTCTATGAAATTTTACCATAAGGTTCAATATTGGTTTTGGGGGTTATGGCACCAACAGTTAAGGAATTAGGGGCCAAAAATAAGCATTTCTGTAACTTCCAGACAATAACTTGTGTGTTAGTGTATGGATCTCTCTGACATTATACCACAAGGTTCCATATCACAACGGGAATGCTGGGATTGATTTTGGTAGTAATTGCCTCAAAATTTTAGGAATTAGGGGCCAAAAAAGGGGCAAAAAACAAGCATTTTTCTAGTTTCATGACAATAACTTGTGTGTAAGTGTATGGATCTTTCTGAAATTGTACTACAAGGTTCCATATCACAAAGGGAAAGCTGGAATTGAGTTTGGGGGTAATTGCCCAAAACGTTTAGGAATAAGTGGCCAAAAAGAGGCTAAAAATAAGCATTTTTCTTGTTTCCAGACAATAACTTGTGTTCAAGTGTATGGATCTCTCTGAAATTGTACTGCAAGGTACCATACCACAAAGGGAGGGCTGGGATTGAGTTTTGGGGTAATTGCCTCAAAATTTTAGGAATTAGGGGCCATAAAGGGGCAAAAAACAAGCATTTTTCTAGTTTCAGGACAATAACTTGTGTGTAATTGTATGGATCTTTATGAAATTGTACAACAAGGTTTCATATCACAAAGGGAAAGCTGGGTTTGAGTTTGGGGGTATTGCCCTAAATGTTTAGGAATTTGGGGCCAAAAAGGGGCCAAAAAACAAGCATTTATACAGTTTCCAGACAATAACTTGTGTTCAAGTGTATGGATCTCTCTGAAATTGTACTGCAAGGTACCATACCACAAAGGGAAGGCTGGGATTGAGTTTGGGGGTGATGAATCATAAGGGGGTTCAAAAAATTGGGGGAGGGGGATTTTTTTTTCCTTTTTTCCCTTTTTTTTTTTTCTTTAGAATTTTCCATTTTAAGTTGGTTATTTTTGATTTATATATAAAAGCAAATAATAATGATATTGTTTGATTTCATCAAAAATTGAAATATTGGGGTTCTTTGATATGCTGAATCTAACCGTGTATTTAGATTCTTAATTTTTGGTCCCGTTTTCAAATTGGTCTACATTAAGGTCCAAAGGGTCCAAAATTAACTTAGTTTGATTTTAACAAAAATTGAATTCTTGGGGTTCTTTGATATGCTGAATCTAACCGTGTATGTATTTAGATTTTGGATATTGGACCATAATAGGTAAATTAAACATTTTTAAGTTCTTAGACCACATTCATTCTGTGTCAGAAACCTATGCTGTGTCAAATATTTAATCACAATCCAAATTCAGAGCTGTATCAAGCTTGAATGTTGTGTCCATACTTGACCGAACTGTTCAGGGTTTGACCTCTGCGGTCGTATCAAGCTGCACACAGTGGAGCATTTTATTATCCTGTTCTATAAAGACAATCTGTTTATGTGTAGAAGTCATTGGTCTTTATTATGGTTAAACACTCAATATATTCTATGGCCAATATATTTCAGATGAAATACTGTAAAAACTTACATATGCCTTTATATTGAACTAGTTTCTGCCATAGGCAGGAATACGTGAAAAACACAAAGACACATTTTTGTCCGGCCTCAGCAACATAGGCAAGACTAAGGCATGCTGTTTCTGTCAGCGGTCTCAACAATGAATTAGTTTTTGGTTAGGTCAGTTAAGGGGAACCACTAGTGACAGGTCAATGATATTTGGTTGTATTAGCATTGGCACATCTCACTTGCATTTGCGTCTATTGAAACATAATAAAAATTGTGATCAGGTCAGCTGAAGTTGTCAAGCAAGTATGGTTAGTCAAAGATATTTGTTATGCAGTTGTATTAACATTTGCTAGTCTCATTTCCATTGAAATTATATGGCTCTGCTCCCTCTGTCGTGGTTCATTGACTGTGAAACTTTTGCATAGTTTAAATGTTAAGTTTTTGTTTAGGTCCGTTTAAGCAGTTTAAGGGGAACCACTTGTGATAAATCAATGTTATTAGGTATGCAGTTGTATTAGCATTGGCAGTTCTCATTTGACACGGAGATTAATTCGCCCTGAACCTTTAGTCATGATCCAGTAACATCAGGCGTTCCTCATGACACTCAGGACCAATACTCTTTCTCATTTACATTAATGACTTAGCTGACTATCTAAAGCACAGCTAATTAAGACTCTTTGCAGACGACAGCATCATTTACCAGCCTATTATCTGCCAAAATGATTACATTAAGCTTCAAGAAGACAACAAAGCAGTATAAAATGGGAGAAAGACTGGCTCATGTCATTTCACCCAGACAAATGTAACATCCTTAGAGTTTCAACAAAGAAAAAACAAATACACCATACATTTCTTTTACAACATGCATGGTCATATCCCAGAACAGTTCAATCAGCAAAATATCTAGGCATTACACTTTCTTCAGATTTCAAATGGAACAAATATACACAACAATCTACAGCAACAGCAAATCAATCTCTATCATTCATAAGGTGAAACTTAAAAATTAACTCAAAATTTGTATAGGAAAAAGTTTACCATACTATAGTTAAGACCGCAGACTTCAGAAAACATAAACAGACTGGAACAAGTGTAAAGAAGAGCCGAACAATATGCCTTCAACAGATATCATAACACCAGCAGTGTATCTGAAATGCTAAACGATCTGAAGCCAACTATATATTATGGGTTTTTATACGCCCGTCTACAGGACGTATTATGGTATACCGTTGTCCGTCCGTCCATCATAAATGCTTTAACCAATTTGCATAAAACTTTGGTGAATTGTTTATATCTATTGACGTGAGCTCCCTTTCATTTTTGATAAATTTCAGATTTTACGTTTCAGAATTATGAGGTTTTATTCATTAATAAAATGCTCCGCTGGGGCGCAGCTTGATACGACCGCAGAGGTCAAACCCTGAACAGTTGGGGCAAGTATGGACACAACATTCAAGCTTGATACAGCACTGAATTTGGATTGTAATTAAATATTTGACACAGCATAGGTTTCTGACACAGAATGAAAGTGGTCTAAGAACTTATAATTTTTTAATTTACCTATTCATACATGTGATGGACTGTGAAACTCAGATCAGGAGATTAGGACTCAGATCAGGAGGTTTTTAATCGACATAAATTTGTCGTAAATGTAACCGTGTGCTGTAAAAATGGTCTTTTAAAGTGTGTTTTCTTCAACTTTCCATCCAATTTATTATGTTTATAGTACCCTTGTACTTATAAAGTTTCTCCATCTTTATATTTTACATGTTCAATCTAACATTTTTTTTTTTCAGTATGTTCTTTAAATTTCTTACTTCATATTCTATAAAACATTTATTGCAACCAGAACATTTGTTTAACCATCTGCAAATAGCTTTTGTTTGCATACTCAGAAAATCATTCTAACTGTAAAACAAGGGTCATAGTTAATATATAAATTTCAATTTAAGCCTTGAAAGGAAGTATAGAATCCTCAAATAATTTTCAAATTATTATTTTTTTATTTGTCCTAAGACATTTAAAATCATTTATTTACCATCCTTTTATGATTATTTGTTCAATTTATATTTTATTTATATTCTTTTAAAAATTTTCATTATTAAAAGGAAAGTAACTTAAAACAGGATAAATCAAGGGAAGTAACCCAATAAATACACAGTTTTTGTTACACAACGGCAGTTAGCCTGAGGTAAAAAATCATTGATTACCAGTATGTTTGACACCCAAGCTGACAAGTGAAGCCATATAATTATGCATGTTAATTGATTTACAGGTAAAATATAACTTCAGGTAATGTGAGTTACACCAGATGCCTGAGATGATATGTTGGGCAGAAATTTTTCATTCATGAAAAATTTCATACACGGGATTATAATTTTCCTCTTCAACCGGAGGTCGGGAGGAGACTCCTGAAAACAGGATTATTGTACTCCTGTCGGGAGGTTCACATGTATGCTATTCAAACCATATCATTATTATTTGCTTTTATATATAAATCAGAAATAACCAATTTAAAATGGAAAATTTTAAAGAAAAAACGAAAAAAAAATCCCCCCCCCCAATTTTTTGAACCCCCTTATGATTCATCACCCCACACTCAATCCCAGCTTTCCCTTTGTGGTATGGTACCTTGCAGTACAATTTTAGAGAGATCCATTCACTTGAACACAAGTTATTGTCTGGAAACTAGAAAAATGCTTGTTTTTTTGTCCCTTTTTGGCCCCTAATTCCTAAACGTTTAGGGCAATTACCCCCAAACTCCAACCCAGCTTTCCCTTTGTGATATGGAACCTTGCAGTACAATTTCATAAAGATCCATACACTTACAAACAAGTTATTGTCCTGAAACTAGAAAAATGCTTGTTTTTTGCCCCTTTTTGGCCCCTAATTCCCAAAATTTGGAGGAAATTACCCCCAAAAATCAATCCCAGTATTCCCTTTGTGATATGGAACCTTGTGATACAATGTCAGAGAGATCCATACACTTACACACAAGTTATTGTCATGAAACTAGAAAAATGCTTGTTTTTTGCCCCTTTTTGGCCCCTAATTCCTAAAATTTGGAGGCAATTACCCTCAAAATCAATCCCAGCATTCCCTTTGTGATATGGAACCTTGTGGTACAATGTCAGAGAGATCCATATACTTACACACAAGTTATGTCTGGAAGTTACAAAAATGCTTATTTTTGGCCCCTTTTTGGCCCCTAATTCCTTAACTGCTAGTACCATAACCCCCAAAATCAATCCCCACCTTCCTTTTGTGGTATTGAACCTTATGGTAAAATTTCATTGAGATCCATTCACTTAAACTAAAGTTAGAGTGCGAAAACTAATGTGTATTCGGACGACGACGCCGGACGACGACGACGACGACGACGACGACGACGCCAACGTCATACCAATATACGACCACAAAAATTTTTTTGCGGTCGTATAAAAAAAGGGGGCAGTTTACAGTTTTCGGACAATAACTCCAAAATGCGTTTAGCAGTTCTCTTGAAACTTTGGTGAATTGTTTATATCTATTGATGTAAGCTGCCTTTCGAATTTTATAAATTTTAGATTTTACGTTTTTGAGTTATGGTGTTTTACCGGTATTCATTAAAAAAGGGGGGATTTTCCAGTTTTAGGACAATACCTCAAAAATGCTTTCAGCAGTTCTCATGAAATTTTGGTGAATTGTTTAAATCTATTGACAAAAGCCCCCTTTCGATTTTCATAAATTTCTGATATGACATTGAGAAGTGATTGAACTTTATTCTTTGAAAATGCGAAGGGCGTATCATGTGCTCATGGCGGAACTGCTTATTCTCATTGTTGAAGGTCGTATGTTTATCTATAATTGCTAACTGGATTTTGAACTTTTGTGGATAGTTGTCTCATTGGCAGTCATACCGCATCTCCTTATTTTTATATAAACTAGCAAACCTCACAAGAAGGCAGATTAAAAACCATATCAGATGTTCCATAAAGTCATAAACAATGAAATTGCATGACCATCGCAAAATTAACTCATAAATAGGCCGGTCTTAAACAAGATCAACATACAGACAACTTCAATGCAAAACAGACAGTTTCAAATATTCATTTTTTAGGCAAACAGTCAAAGATTTGAATAAACTACATGTACCACCCTAGATCTCAAACCATAATTCAATAAATTTTGATGATGTTCTCACACATAAAATCTTCCTTAAAAAATTCTATAAACTAATTAAATGTACTTATTGCTTTTTCTTGAAATAAAAAAAATATGAAATAAAAGAAAAATGTGGAACACAGATACCCCCACTTGTAAATATATGGCAAATTCAGCAATATTTCCATTTATAAAGGGACATAACTCAAGAACAGTAAACATAACATGTCCAAATTTAAACTTGTTCAAGTTCAGTGGTAATAAGCATTATGTATAAGTTTAGCAACATCTGATTAAGGCTAAGTAAATTAAAGTTTAGAGTGTGGAAACTGCAAATTCAGCAATTTTTCCATTTATTAGGGCACCCAAATTCAAACTTGATCTGTTTTTTGTGGTAATAAGCATTGTGTATAAGTTTCATAACTTTTGGTTGAGGCAAATTAAAGTAAGAAAATGGAAACTTATTTTGGGACTGATGAATGGACAGACGGACTAAGGTAAAAAAAACTTTATATAAAAGTTAGATAAAAATTTTAAATTTTATAAATAAAAGAAATAGGCCATGACTGAGAGGGTTGGACCAAATGATTTCCATGGAAATAAGATATGCCAATGCTAAAACAACTGCATACCAAGTATTATTGACCAACCACTAATGGTTCCCTTAAACTGACCTGAAATTACAATACCACAGTGTTATAGTAATCTCAGAACTGACCAAATCACAATCTTATACATTGTGGATGCTGTGACGGCCAAAAACAGCACACCTAAGTCTCGCTCTTTTTGTGACTTCCTTAAGGCAAGGCAAAGCTAGAAAATCGTATAAATATCATCTATCAAACTAGTAATGTGTGATTAAAATCAAGAGCTAAATCTGCCTGTGGATAACACTGCACATTGGGATCTACAAAATGACTGGATATGTATTTCTCTGATGTGTCTCAATCTTACAACAAATTTGAACCAATTTTGAATATGAAAACGTAATGACTTAAATTAAAATTGATTGACTAATTGTTTCCTTGACATCCAGTGCCAAATCATGCATATTCAGGATGAGAAAAAATTAACAACAAGAGGCTGTCAGAGTGACAGCAAAAAGGATTTCCTGCAGAGGTCGAACCCTGAACAGTTGAGCAAGTATGGACACTATATTTAAGCTTAAAACAGCTCTGAATTTGGATTATGATTGAATATTTGACACAGCTTAGGTTTGTGGCACAAAATGAATGTGGTCAAAGAACTGAAAAATTTGAAATTGGACATTTACCTATTATGGTCCAATATCCAAAATCTATGTACATTGTTAGAATCAGCATATCAAAGAATCCCAAGAATTCAATTTTTGATGAAATCAAACAAAAGTTTAATTTAGGACCCTTTGGACCTCAATGTGGACCAATTTGATAAAGGAATCCAAAATCTTTAAATGCATGGTTAGATTCAGCATTTCAAAGAACCCCATAAATTCATTTTTTTTTTAAATCAATCAAAGTTTAATTTTGGACCCTAATTTGAATCAACTTGAAAACTGGACCCAAAATTCCAATATTTATATACAGGTTTAGATTCAGAATTTGCAAGAACCCTATATATATTCAATTTATGTTGAAATGAAACACAGTTTAATTTTATCCATATACTTATTAATTTTCTGTTCAAAGGGAAATAACTCAAACTGAATAAATGATATCAAAATAGTTCTCTAAAATTAGATATGATGTTTTATCTATTTTCAAATTATAATCAAAAATCTAAATACCACTTAGATTCAGCATATCAAAGAACACCAAGAATTCAATTTTTTTTTAAATAAAAAAAGTTGTATTTTGGACCCTGTGGACCTAAATGTGGACCAATTTGAAGACAGACATCAAAATTAAAAAAAAAATTTAACAAGAGACCAAATGTCAAAGAAATTAATTATTAATTTCTGTACAAAGGGAAATAACTCAAATTCATATAATAAAAATAAATTTTGCTACTGAAAATTCTAAAACTCAACAATTAGAACAGATAAAATCGTGAAAATTGAACTTGACCTTCATTTAGTCACAGGAAACAGCATATCTAAATTTGAAATTTTGTCAAAGCATTTTCATGTTAATGAACGGACACTTTTGTCAGCTGCCCGCCCGCTGTACATCCCCAAATCAATAACTGATTTTTCTTTCGAAAATCCAGTTAATAAAATGAAATAGTAGGTTCTGAAAAGTGGGTTGACTGTGATGAATGGTAGGAAAGTTAGATTGCTACTTGAAAAAGAGATTATATGGGATATGGAAATAAATTTTGCCTTGCAAAAGGTCTTATTTACCCCTCAAAGAAAACTTTGAATTTACAACTGTTGTGACATTGGAAGGTTTCCCACTTACACAGCAGCTGATATAACTACCTGCAACTATTTTCACAAAACATTTCATGTGTAAAGATACTTGTGTTTTTTGTTTTTTTTTATTATGTTATGGGGTTTTTTTTTTCCTGAGGAGTCAAGTGTTGGAGATTGATGTGGTATGTTGTACTGTGCAGTATTTTTACTATTCTTGTCTTCCTATTTGTGTATTATCATTAACATTTTCGTATAATTTAAAAATCAATTTTATTGATAATATTTTTTGTTTAAACATTCACTGGTTTAACTGGATTTTCAGAGCCAAAGGTTTCTTTTTCATTGTTATCTATCATGTGTGTGTGTGACTTTGTGATTAGTAGTTTGTTCTTCCTTCATTTTAACAGGTTGTCTTGACCATGTTAACTCCTATGGATTCTTGACATTTTGATTATTCCTTGTAAGAGCTATCTGCTAAGTAATCTTATAGTCTCTTTCTGAATTATGTTGTCTTAAACAAATTGTCCAAGATTTTAACTGGATTCTTATGCATATATTTTTAAAACAATAACAACCAAAAGGCAATAAAATTTGTTTAATCAATTTAGGTATTCTATAAATTAATAACAAAGTAATATTCCATTTTAAATGCTAGTCTGGTTGAAATAAAATAAAACATGACAAGAAAACTTTAAAAAAAAAAACAGCAACTTCAATCTGGTTATATATATAGAATGCAAATCTGGTTTGTATGTAAAAAAATCCAATAAAAACAGCCAAAAATTCTAACAATTGAATAACATAAAAATTTTCAACTACCATAAGTAGTTTTACTTTGAGGACACAATTTTCTAAAGTTTTGTATAAAATACAGTTGTTTTTACACCATTACCTGTATGATGAAACAGATGAAACAGTTTGAAAACTGTAAAAATATTTTCATTTGTGGTCTGAGGAGAACCTTAGTTATTTGGATCATGAAACATAGCTTAATATCAATGAAAATATGTTTTTCATTAAGCATAGTATAGTATTTCATAATGAAGTATGAAACTCATGTAAATTGATACCACACAAACCATTAAACTGTCACAATTTGCACAAGCAAACTTACTAATCAATATAAATTCAAAATTAACATGCAAATGCAAGGTAAAAATAAACAACTTAGAAGTGATGTATAGAGTTTTGATTCATTATAAATCATCTATTAGAAATTAAACATGTTCCTTGATTTTCCCCAATGATAAAGTTGTTTTATCCCATTACCAATTATTCACATTCTAATCTAACACCTTTTTCCATGAATTTCGTAATAATATATGCAAGATACATATCAAAATCATAATATATTTCAGACTTTTTACATTTTTTTTTACAGGCAGGGGAATTTCCTCATATTTTGTACAAGTACCTAGGTTTATAGAAAAATCTATCTGAGTTTAGTCTGTATCGCACATTCACTTCTTAAGGGTTAAAATCCACTTGGTTATTGAAGAAAAATATATCATTGTGGCAGGTGTGTAGACTCCATCAAGATCAAGAGTCATAAAATGTAGCAGAATACCAAACAGGAACTAGTTCTTATTATAACTAACCTTAATTAATGACACCTGCAAACATTCAGGTCAGACTGTATTATGGTAGATAATGCAGTCTTATCAAGATATTACTGAGTTCTGAATATGTACATTAGTACAATGTAGTCTACTATATGGTTTACTCTTACTTTCCTGTGAAGGGATGATGACAGTAATGCTTTATACTGAAGACGTCTTATTTCATATAATCATGGGTAAAAACTCCACTTGTATTTAGTAACATTGAGGAACAACTCTGCCATAAGAAGCACTCATCTACAAGAGTAGCACTAATCTGCAATTGAAAGTCAACTTATAAGGATTTCCTGTTAAACAAAAACAACAAAACAAACAGTCCTTTCAATTACATTAATAGAAGTATCAAATAAATAAAACTATTCAAAAAATTATACAAAGTCCATAAAAAACCTCAACATCAGTAAAAACTAAGTTAAAACACTAACAAACAATATAAATATATATCAACAACAATTACTTGTACAAAAGTTAATATTTTTTACAAATGAATGATATTACTTAGTATATCTATATATCAAAGTTATAAGTACATTAAACTTTGATTTAAATAAAACAATTACTGCATGTTAATGATTAAAACTTGGGAGATTACTAAAGCAAACAAAATGAAATGACAGAAATACTCTGTGTCTACTTATTTACCAATTATTGCTTTTACTGCAGAATCAGCAGATTAATGCATTGGATAAATTGATAATTTATTAGGAATTTGTTTGTTTACTTTTTTATCTATCAAAATCAATATTTCAGTGTGTATGGCTATAAAACCCTGACACAAGACCTTGAATAAGAGTAAGGTACTATGAAAATATTAAAATAAAATAAGATTTAAGTTCAATTAAGTTTACCCATTATATTTATTTACAAATGTACTCTCTCTATAAACAGCAAAATAACTCAACAAATAACCTAACTCCATGGAATCTGTGTTTTTATTGCCCATTTTGCTACAATGATTTCACACAAGGTTCTGTTGGGATCCATGTTGCATCATTTCTGCCAATTGATGCCAGATTAGCATGAAATGAGACGCATCTGTAGAGAGCATACCAAATATTAAATTTAAAAACATAGCCTCACAGTTTTCCCTTAGAAAATTATTAATCAAAATGTGGCAGCTATGTTTTTTCTACTAAGAATGGGAATATGAATTCCAATATATGTATAGAGTCTCAGACTTAAATCCATTTACTTTCCTAAATTTGTATCATTTTGGCTTATTGGTTTGAGAGGAGATGTCCTTAGTTTTAATTATAAATAAAAGGAAATGAGGCGTAAATGTCAACAAGACAGCAACCCAAATGTCATAAATAATCAAAAGACATCTAGATGGCAACATTACAGTATGTTAAGGGTTGTCATCTTTGAAATGTGCCTTTGTGTTCTCTGTGTACTGTCATTTTTGTACACCAGGACACTAAGTTTGGTATGTTATTTAGTTTTCCGTATTAATTTTTCACTTTTTTAATAACATGATCTTTTACAGAATGAATTTGGCATATATTATTTTCAGTTTTGCATTAGAATAAAAAATGAAACTAATAGTAGATTGGTGTATTGTCTGAAGTCTGATTTCCTTCCAAGATTTTTGCCAATTTATTTAGAGAATTTATTAAAAATGCCAAACCATGAATTAGACCCCTCTTCAAACACACATGTTCCTTAATATTTTTGTATACTTTTACATGTCATGAATAGACATGGTCGGATTAGTCTGCAAGTGTACTGTGACTTTCTGTAAATTTCAATCCAGTGTGAATAAAGATTGTGAATGTTCTGAAACTTCATGGTCAACAAATGCATAGTCATTTTAATTCAATAAAAATTGTTATAAATTTTTTGGCAGAGGCCTTTACGACATAATAGTATGTTGATTTCAATTGATTTTATAGTAGTGTTACGAAGAATTTCTGTATTTTGTGATTTGTAGCATTTATTTTACCTTTGGTGTTTTAAAATGGAAGGCCCAGTATTAAGAGAAGGCACATTTCATAGAGGACACCGTTTACATTGTGTTAACATACAGTCTTCAGCAATAGACAGATGACAAAGATTGTATACAATAGGTCAAGCTCTAAATAGCCCCAAATCTATTGAAGTTGTGAACAAATTTATGTACATTTATTTCACAGATCCTTCAAAAAATAAAAGGTGTTCAAAAGCATATAAAATAAAAATCAGTACAAGAATAGCACTTGGCTCTAAGATAATGGTATACTAGAATACAAAAACACAGGTACAAACAAAAAGATAATAAACAATACTATAATGTATCAAAGATTGTTCACAGTTACTAAAAGCAAACTAAAGTACTTTAATGCTGATAAGAAATCATGCTATCCTAAACTGTCTACAGTTTGAATTGGTCACTAGAAAAAAATCCAAATTATAAGAAGTTAAGAAAAACATGCTTTCAACAGTAGCAATTTACAACCGTTACAATCATGTTTCAATGGAGGATCCAGGATCTTGAAAAAAGATGTGATGTCTACAGATTTATCATATTTGCTCTTTCAAAAAAAGGAAAACAGTCTCCTCTCTATTCTGCCATTTATGCTTCTAAATATTTGTTTAAAATCATTATATAATCATGAAACATTCTGACTCAAACAGTATTTGGTCTGAAATGGTCATTAAAGCTTTAGCTTAGTTTCTACATTACAGACAAATAAAGATATGTGTGGCCAGCAGAAACTATAATGCATAATGGAAAAGAAGGATTTGTTTTGACTTTACACTGGATGATGTGTTGTCTAACAAAAAGCCTGTATTCTAAGTGTTAAATCTTTTAAGCCAAATATGAAGCTAATGTGTTTCTGCTGCTTTACTTAAAAAAATTTGTAGGTCAAAAAAAATTCTGACTATCATGTTCAAAGTTTTTAATTAATCTATTTACTGGAGTCACAATCTTGCTAGAACAGCATTTGCTCAAAAATAGTAAATAAAAAATTATACACACTCCATCAAAATTTAAGTTAAGATCAATTGATTAAGTGGTATCATGAAAGTAAAATGTCAATATAATACATCCATGGTGGTATCAAAAGAATTTTTTATCCCCCCGGAAGACAAATATCAGTTTTAAAAAAACAAAATGTAAGAAATCTGGGCAAAACATACCAAATTTCGTAAAGCTTATTATGTTCAATAGTAAAATCTTTACACATATCCAATATAACAAAAATACAGTGAATGGCAAGAAATAAAAACAAAAAATATGAAATTAACTTTGGCACCCATCCAAGTTAACAGCACTAAAATTTACATCAAATATTTTACATATTGTATGTCAATAGTGTTACTCAATCACTATTTTCAGTCATATACTATGTAATTGGTTGACTTATATTTTTAACCATTAGAAACAAACTGTATAGTGCATGGCCAATCTTATGTGGTGCTATATAATATTAGTAACATGGTGTGTTAGTGACCTAATACGATATATATGGGGTCAGTAAATTCCATATTGGGTGAGAGCGAAGCTCGAATCCCCATATGGAATTGACTGACCCCATATATATTGTATTATGTTACTAGCACACTGTGTAACGAATTAATCTTACCGACTATCTTCACATGTGGTATTTAGACTAGCGGCCCTATCAAAATGATCAAGTCTGAATTCAATACTTAGTATTAAGAACCTACTTCCATTTGTCTATACAAAAAAACAAATGCCAATAATAACAACTTGTTAGCTTTAAATTTGTATTATGAATTTATTTCAATCGTTCATTATCAATTTCTTCGTCTGTTGAAACTCTCAGATTTCTTTTTTATTTTGAAAGGGAAGTAACTCCTTACTAACCCCATATGGTAACTAACCCCATATTTTTTAGGACACCCTATATCAAATATATGTAGTCACCACGTGTAGTCCTTTAACCAATTATATCCCCAGAAATCTATAGGAGGTAAGATAAACCTTAATATATGAAAAACCCATGGTAAAATACTACACAGCTCTGGGCTAGTTGAGTTTACTGCATCACAATGCATTTTGGGCTCAAAAATGTCCTATTTCGGGGAATACTGATGTAATTCAAGAGTATAACTGCAAAAAGTTTATTCTGCTATTTGGCAATTCCTTGATTTTTCAGATGACCTTGTCCAAAAAGAATCTACCCAATATCCCATCTTTTTAACTGCATTTTACAGGCCATTTCATATAATTTCCCAATTTTATTTGAATTTGCCATGCAAATAATTGAACTAATTATCTTTACATATAAATTGCACATAAATAATTAAAAACACTACAACATATCATTATTTTTTAAATACTAGTACATTTTTATAGTCATAAATAATAAACTGTACATCTGAATATGTTTAGCAATTTGTCCTATTCTTCAGTATGTCAGCTTTTAAAAACTGGGATAAGTAAAAATTGCATTTACATCAGAATAAGAACAGAACACTCAATTTATTGGCTGTTGCAGAAAAGGTAGAATCTTTGAACATGTTGAAGGCATTTGCATATAAATTTTTATGAGTTTTCTATGAGTGGTTGGGTCTAGATTATGTTTTAGCATTAAAGTATATTATTAAAAAAATCTTGGGAAAGTGGGACTGCTGCTGAAAAAGTGCCTTCAGAGATATCAATAAACTTTTTGTCTGGGGGAAAACCCTAATATAAAACCATAAATTATGCGTACTGAATGCAAATTGAAACTACAAAGTTATGTCCTAAAATAGTGATTGAATAAAACAACACATAACAAAGTTATAAAATCTCAAATTACAACAATTAGTAAAAATAAAGCTTCTTACCACACATACTGACTGATGATTCTCATATTAATTACATTCAAATAAAATAAACTTTCACAAAACTATTGGAAATTTTGACTTGAAGGGTAACAAAAATGAACATGTATGAGATCTGGAGCCTCTCATTACTACCTATATATATATATATATACATGTATGTTAGTTTTGCAAAATAGTACATCTGAAGTTCTTATAAAATATTCAGCTTTTAGATAATGAACAAAGAAAGCAACATATTTCTATTTATATATTCAAAGTTATTTCAATGAGGAAAAACTGTTCAAAATATAGATATGAAAGTTGTGTGACTTATAACTGAAGTAACCTTAATGGTAACTTAAATAAGAATGAGTCAAACGAGAGTCATCTGTTTAATCATTTCTGGTAAAGTATGACATGATTCCAATGTCTTTCAGCTGCTGATAAACAGTATCATCCCAGCCTTTGTTGGCTGCTGGATTAATGGGACTTGGGTGTGTGATTCTCTCTACACGGATTTCATTATTTCCCTGATTCTTTAGAACAGATTGCACTCTTGACTCTACAAACTTTCCTATACATACTATTATTTTGACTTGTAGGATGTTTAAAGTCTCAATCAAAGCCATGTCACAAGCATGGTTTAAGGCATTCCTCTGGTCTGCTCTTAATTCTGGTGGAGTGATATTTCTGCCAGTTGGTGACATGAATGCTAATGGGCAAAAATTATGTACAAAGCAATGTCTGAAGAAAACCTCAGGTGTTCCACAAACTCTCTTGAAAAATCCCCAAAAACGGCCACCACTCACCTAAAATAAGAAAAACAAAATAAACAGTTATTGTTAATTCAGAAATTATTGTGAGCATTTATGAATGCAATTGTTAAACAATGGAAAAGAATCTGAGATACAGGAGTAGCTACATAAAAACAAGAAAACTCTGAGTTATTGCTCACTAATGATACCCCTGCTTTAAGTTTTCAATAATCAGAAAGTTGAAGAGAAAAGTATCTGAAAATGCATGAATCTAAAACCGCGTCACATGGTAAAGCATGCTGATGTGAACCCATATAACAAATTTCAGGAAGATCTGATTTGTAGTTCCTGAGAAAAATGCAACGAAAATTACATGGGATAGATATACAGACAGAAGTAAAACAGTCTACCCCCTCCTTTGGAGCGGGGGTAAAAAAAAGGAATTAGAATTCAAAATATCTATTGGTAGATTATATTGATATTAACTTATTAGCCATATAGATAGATAACATATATAACTTCTACCTAAATTGGTTGGAGAGTTGTCTCATTGGGCTTTGGCAATCACAACACATCTTTAAATTTTTATATAATATCAGAATGATTAACAGATGGGAGTAATGTGTAAGTCTGACTTCTCCATAAAGGAAATAACACCTCATAATTTTTGTGTGTCTGAAGGGCATTAAATTCTTATGGATTTACATTTTTCAGGAACACTGAAACCCAATCATTTGAAAGCTAATTAAAGAACCTTAGTGAGCGCTCTCACATACCCCACATCCCCACATTGTCACTGGAGGAATAAAATAACAGTAAGAAAAAAAAATTGAATCATTATTTCCTGTCGATATGCACATCTACGTAGTATGTCCTTATTATCTACAAAGTTTCATGAAATTCTGTTGTGTGGTTTCGGAGGAGTTGCGATGACAAACTGTTGCAGTAGTATATTGAAGCAAATAAGTTCAAAGGGGCATAACTCCTAGAAAAAAAATTGAATCGTAATTTCCTGTCGATATGCACATCTGCATAGTATGTCCTTATTATCTAAAAAGGTTTAATGAAATTCTGTTGTCTGGTTTCAGAGGAGTTGCGATGACAAACTGTTGCAGTAGTATATTGAAGCAAATAAGTTCAAAGGGGCGTAACTCCTAGAAAAAAAATTGAATCGTAATTTCCTGTCGATATGCACATCAACGTAGTATGTCCTTATTATCTGAAAAGGTTTCATGAAATTCTGTTGTGTGGTTTGAGAGGAGTTGTGATGAAAGGAAACAGGACTGACGGAATGGCGGACGGACAGACAGATGGATGGACGGGTCAAAAACATTATACCCTCCGCAACTCATTGCGTGGGGTATAATAAACATCTTTTTTAGAATTCTCAATACAGAAACCAAATACAGCTACACTTTTTACATGGACAAAGTGATATAAATGTGAATTGATCACCTGGTAAAGATATGCCATTTTGATACAAAGTTTTATCTTTATTTTACCCAACGCAACGAGTTGCGGAGGGTATAATGTTTTTGAACCGTCCGTCCGTCTGTCCGTCCGTCAGTCCTGTTTCTTGTCATCGCAACTCCTCTCAAACCACACAACAGAATTTCACGAAACCTTTTTAGATAATAAGGACATACTATGTAGTTGTGCATATCGACAGGAAATTACGATTCAATTCTTTTTCTAGGAGTTACGCCCGTTTGAACTTATTTACTTTAATATACTACTGCAACCTTTTGTCATCGCAACTCCTCTCAAACCACACAACAGAATTTCATGAAACCTTTTCAGATAATAAGGACATACTACGTTGATGTGCATATCGACAGGAAATTACGATTCAATTTTTTTTTCCAGGAGTTACACCCCTTTGAACTTATTTGCCCAATATACTACTGCAACCTTTTGTCATTGCAACTCCTTTCAAACCACACAACAGAATTTCATGAAACCTTTTCAGATAATAAGGACATACTACCTAGATGTGCATATCGACAGGAAATTAGGAATCAATTTTTTTTCCAGGAGTTACGCCCCTTTGAACTTATTTGCCCAATATACTACTGCAACCTTTTGTCATCGCAACTCCTCTCAAACCACACAACAGAATTTCATGAAACTGTGTAGATCATAAGGACATACTATGTAGATGTGCATATTGACAGGAAATTATGATTCAATTTTTTTTTCTGATACAATTTTTTTTTTTTACACTTATTTCATTTCTCCAATGACAATGTGGGGACGTGGGGTATGTGAGCGCGCTCACTAAGGTTCTTTAATTTTTAATCAGTTTGTACCTATCTATTATCATTGTTTTTGAGATCATTCCAAAACACAATAAAATGCTCTGCTGGGCGCAGCTTGATACGACCGCAGAGGTCGAACCCTGAACAGTTGGGGCAAGTATGGACACAACATTCAAGCTTGATACAGCACTGAATTTGGATTGTAATTAAATATTTGACACAGCATAGGTTTCTGACACAGAATGAATGTGGTCTAAGAACTTAAAAATTTTTAATTTACTAATTCAAACCACATCATTATTATTTGCTTTTATATATAAATCAGAAATAACCAATTTAAAATGGAAAATTTTAAAGAAAAATAAAATGCTCCGCAGGGCGCAGCTTGATACGACCGCAGAGGTTGAACCCTGAACAGTTGGGGCAAGTATGGACACAACATTCAAGCTTGATACAGCTCTGAATTTGGATTGTGATTAAATATTTGACACAGCATAGGTTTCTGACACAGAATGAATGTGGTCTAAGAACTTAAAAATTTTAAATTGGACATTCACCTATTATGGTCCAATATCCAAAATCTAAATACATGGTTAGATTCAGCATATCAAAGAACCCCAAGAATTCAATTTTTGATGAAATCAAACAAAGTTTAATTTTGGACCCTTTTGACCTCAATGTGGACAAAGTTGATAACAGGGCCCAAAAATCAAAAATCTAAATACATGGTTAGATTCAGCATATCAAAGAACCCCATATATTCAATTTTTGTTGAAATCAAACAAAGTTTAATTTTGCTGGACCCCGATTTGGACCAACTTGAAAACTGGGCCCATAATAAAAAATCTAAATACATGTTTAGATTCAGCATATCAAAGAACCCTAAGAATTCAATTTTTGTTAAAATCAAACAAAGTTTAATTTTGGACCCTTTGGACCTTAATGTAGACCAATTTGAAAACGGAACCAAAAATTAAGAATCTAAATACACGGTTAGATTCGGCATATCAAAGAACCCCAATAATTCAATTTTTGATGAAATCAAACAAAGTTAAATTTTGGACCCTTTGGACCTCAATGTGGACCAATTTAAAAACGGGGCCCAAAATCCAAAAACTTAATACACGGTTAGATTCAGCATATTAAAGAACCCCAAGAATTCAAGAATAAAACCCTATTGAAATTGATCAAGAAGTAAGCAATTTATACGAAGTATCTTCTTTTGCACAATACTGTGCAATTGAATATTTCTTGCTATTGCGCAATACTATACAATTGACAATTTCTTGCTATTGCGCAATATTGTGCTATTGGATATTTCTTGCTATTGCGCAATACTGTGCAATTGAAGATTTCTTGCTATTGTGCAATACTGTGCAATTGAAGATTTCTTGCTATTGTGCAATACTGTGCAATTGAAGATTTCTTGCTATTGTGCAATACTGTGCAATTGAAAATTTCTTGCTATTGCACAATACTTATTATATAATAATTTACACATCCTGTTTGGTGTGTATCTCCTACCATATCATTATTATTTGCTTTTAAATATAAATCAGAAATAACCAACTTAAAATGGAAAATTTTAAAAGAAAAAAAAAAGGAAAAAAATTTAAAAAAGTTAAAAAAAAAAAATCCCCCCCCCAAACTTTTTGAACCCCCTTATGATTCATCACCCCCAAACTCAATCCCAGCCTTCCCTTTGTGGTATGGTACCTTGCAGTACAATTTCAGAGAGATCCATACACTTGAACACAAGTTATTGTCTGGAAACTAGAAAAATGCTTATTTTTGGCCCCTTTTTGGCCCCCATATCCTAAACGTTTCGGGCAATTACCCCCAAACTCAATTCCAGCTTTCCCTTTGTGATATGGAACCTTGTAGTACAATTTCAGAAATATCCAAACACTTATACACAAGTTATTGTCATGAAACTAGAAAAATGCTTGTTTTTTGCCCCTTTTTTGGCCCCTAATTCCTAAAATTTTGAGGCAACTACCCCCAAAATCAATAACAGCCTTCCCTTTGTGATATGGAACCTTGTGGTACAATGTCAGAGAGATCCATACACTTACACACAAGTTATTGTTTGGAAGTTACAAAAATGCTAATTTTTGGCCCATTTTTGGCCCCTAATTCCTTAACTGTTGGTACCATAACCCCCAAAATCAATCCCAACCTTCCTTTCGAGGTATAGAACCTTATGGTAAAATTTCATGGAGATCCATTCACTTAAACTAAAGTTAGAGTACGAAAACCAATGTGTCTTTGGAAGACGCCGCACGACACCAGACGACGACGACTACGCCGACGTCATACCAATATACGACCAAAAATTTTTTAACATAATGCCCTAATTCCTCAACAGTTGGTACCATAACCCCCAAAATCAATCCCAATCTTCATTTTGTGGTATTGAACCTTATGGTAAAATTTCATAGAGATCCATTCCCTTTAACTTAAGTTAGAATGCGAAAACCAATGTGTCTTCGGACGACGACGACAACGACGATAAAGACGCCAACGTCATACCAATATACGACCACAAAATTTTTTTGCGGTTAAAAAATTAGTCAAAAATCGTCATTCCATGGTTTCAGCCATATTCAGCATTTTTGTAGCTCTTGTACATGTATAGCTGAACATTTTTGCTATTTACAGTTTCTACTATTATACATGCTGTTTTCATGATAATTTGCAAAATTATAAGAATTGGTCAAAAAATGTTTTAAAGTCAACAACTCCTATAAGGACGCATCAAATGGTTTTAGTCATATTGTTTTTTGTATATCCTGTATTGCTGATCATTTTTGTAGTTTACAGTTTTTATCTATATTTTGTAGCCCTTGAGAAAAGTGGTAAAAACACAAACATTTGTCAACTAATGATCATTACTCCATAAGCAGCCATTCAATGGTAATGGTCACATGGCTTTTTTTATAGATATTATATTGCTGATAATTTTTTTTCTATTTACAGTTTTTATCTACCGGTATCTGTTATAGTTTTTGAGACAATTGGCAAAAAACATGAAAATTCTTCAAAAATCATCATCAAGGATCAGAACTCCTTCAGGAGTCATCCAATAGTTTCGGTCATACATGTATTTACATTGGTGTAGGTCTTGTATTGCTGATCATGTTTGCCTTTAACTGTTTTTACAACTTAAAAGGCAAAAACATAAAAATTAGCCAAAAATTGTCATATAAGGGCAATTACTCCTTAATGAGTAATCGGATAATGTTGATACGAATAGGCAGTAGGTAAAATACAGTAATTGTCTGATATCTTGAAAATTATAATAAAATAGAGAAAATCTAACAGGATAGAAATGCACAGAATGTCCATTTACCCATGTTCTATTTTTAGCCATTGTGACCATGTTTGTTGACTGACTGAGGAAAAACACAATTTTTATACTAGATACCCTAAGGATCACTGAAAGTTCATTAGTTTCAGAGTGGAGGATCTTTGAAAAAGCTAATGATATGCTGCATGACAAAGACAGGTGACTCCAAGTGATTACAATAGCTCACATGGCCCAGTGAGCTAAAAATGAACAAAAATATAATTTCAAAATTTTGCTTTGGACAATCTCTTAATCATAAAAAAGCTTTATAAAATTCTATAAAGGTTTGACAAAGTAATTGATGTCTAAGACACTTTAACACCAGATCTTATTAACATGTTAACTGCAAAAAAAAAAAGGGAAAAACTAAGTCGGTTCAACATGTTCAGTAAAAAACCTAAAAAATAGAAAAAAAAATTAATAATCTTGCTCTGGATACTGTCTTTTGATCATAAAAGAGCTTCTATCCAATTTACATTAAATTCCATGAAGGTTTGAAAAAGCAATTGATGACTAAAAAACTTCAACATTTAACTGTATCTCGATGTTAACTGCTAAACTAAAACTATGTCCATTTATAAATAAAAATACAGAAAACTGAGATAAAATTATTTTCTACAAATTTTGCTCTAGATACTGTATGTTGTCCTAATAAAACTTCTGTCCAAATTTCATAAAATTCCAATAAGGTTTGACAAAGTTATTGATGTCTAAAAAAACTTTAACCACAGACTGAACCATAATGTTGATGCTGCTGACGATGACAGAATATGATTGCTGTGTCTTGCACCCAACATACATGACATAAATGTTGCAGGCTCAGCAAAAATCAGTCCGTTATGGAATTTCAACTGGATACTGCATACTGGACAAAAATCCATGTAAATAGATTAAAATATATAGTAAATACTTCTTCTGTGTCATGCTCTATGCTCTTTTCAAAATGGTAGGCATTATCTTATTTCAATATTTTATCTCTCACTAATGCTCAGTGTAAAAGTATTGATAAATATAATGCCTATCCATGTTGAAATAAGCATGGAACATGACCCTATTATTACTTAATTAAACTGCTTGCAATTACCAGTATTAACTTATAGAAATCACTGCAACTGGCAAGAAATGTATTATAAATACCTCAGATCTGTGACAATCCAGTCCTGTAATACATCTTTTAGGATGTTCCCTGGCTGGTTTCTGTACATTGCCTCTAATTTTAAACCAATCCCTGACAGCAGAAACTTCTCCAAAAGGTACCTTAAATAAAGGACACAGATACCTGTCATCTTTTTTCAGATAATATAACCTTATTATAGATTTTATAACTTTTAGAATCCTGGTAATAGTGAAAACAAAAATCATGGAAAAAATATCATAAAAGTACCAATTGCAACATGATTATACTGTCTCTTCTTTTGACATAATACAATCTGATTAAAACCAGATCTTCTCTTCCCCTGTTTATTTATTATGTTGAATAATAACATAAAGAAACTTCATTTGGACTGTTTGGAACCAAACATATAGCAACAACTTAGAGATAAAATTGTTCATTCATACCTAATAGATATTAACAAATATGGTTGTAACTTATCAGAATCTGTCTTAAACTTATAATTTTACTCAACAAATTTTTGTTGACAAATACATCCTGAAGAAATTAACTTTAAACAATGCTAAATATGTGAATACATGATGTGGAATAGACAGAAACCTATTGACACCAAAAATCATAAGACATCTGAAGTTAATTCTAGAAAAAAAAATGGAAAATGTGTCCCAATGGACACAGATGATGCCCCCGCTTGCAAACAACATTATAAAGGGACATAACTCAAAAACAATAAAAGTAACGCTACCCAAATTTGTACCAGAGTTGAGTTTAGTGGTAATAACTATTGTGTATAGGTTTCGTTATGTTTGGTTGGGGCAAACTTAAGTTACAGAACGGAAACTAAAGATTTTGCAATTTTTCGATTTATAAAGGGGCATAACTTGATAATGGTTAAAGTGATGCCACCAAAATTCAACTTGATCTGTGTTTTGTGGTAATGAGCATTGTGTATAAGTTTCATAACATTTGGTTGAGGCAACTTAAGTTAGAGAACGGAAACTAACAATTTTGTAATTTTTTCATATATAAAGGGGCATAACTCTAGAACGGTTAAAGTTACGCTACCAAAATTCAAACTTGATCTGTATTATGCGGTAATAAGCATTGTGTATAAGTTTCATAACATTTGGTTGAGGCAAACTTTAGTTAGAGAACAGAAACTAAAAATTTAGGAATTTTTCCATTAATAAAGGGCATAACTCTAGAACGGTTAAAGTGACGCCACCAAAATTCAAGCTTGATCTGTATTTTGTGGTAATAAGCATTGTGTATAAGTTTCATAACATTTGGTTTAGGCAAACTCAAGTTAGAGAACGGAAACCAATTTTGGGACGTACGTACGTACAGACATACAGACGGACAAGGGTAAAACTTAATGCCCCCTCCGCTACGAAGTAAGTTATCAATGACTATGAAAATCTGCCATGAACTCCAAAATCCTTGAATGACAAAAAAAAAACAACATTTAAGATTTTTGAAATCTCAATATCCCCTTCCAATGTCAATCAGTGGGACAACAAAGGATAAATAGAAGAATGTTCACCAAAAATAAGTATAGGTAAAACTCTTTAAATCAACTCTATAATATAATAGTAAAATAGATAACAGAAACAAAAGAACAAGCAAACAATAATACTTCATTGATCAAAGATTTGTCAAAGAATGCTCCTTTTCAATGAAAGCAAAGTCAAAGTACCCGACCTCAGTGTCTGACACACAGAAAATTGTCTCACCTGTATAACAGATATAAACAAATAGCATGTTGAAAGTCTGCACCAATTTTCAAGAACACATTCATTAAAGTTACTGGAAACTTTGAAACTGACTATGTGAACAATTAACAATGAAAATCATGTCAAGGTCAGGTGACCCCTGTCAGACAAACATGTAAAATTACATTCTAATGATAAAAATACAAAATAAATTTGAACTATTAATATCACAACCTCAGCATCAAAACTCAATACTAAAACTCACTGATGATAAAAACTTAGCTGAGGACTAACAACATATGCCAGATCAAAAATTACTGTAAATTCAGATATTATTGTGAGGTTTTTACTATTGCAAATAATGTGACTGGGTGATAATTGCAATAATTAGAACTTGCACTCTGTTATCTGATTCATATAAGTGTATGCAGATTTTCCTGAAATCGCAATAATAATTCTCGCATTTTTGTCATTTCCTCAAAAATCGCAATAATAAATGCACGCAATAATTTAAAAGGGGTCAACATTCAAAATTGACTTACTTCTGAAATATTATGCAAGATACACAAATAGCATTAAAATGTTGTTGCCACCAGATTCACATTTTGATGCCTCTCCTTCAGTGATTTTCACTGCAAGCAAGACATTTTTTTAATATTATAATGTTATGCGTACATTTGTACATGTACTCTACTTTTTAATTGAAATAACAGAAGATTTTCTTGTAATAATGTTAATACAATTCATGCATGAGAAGGCTGGCTTCATTAATATAACAAGATTATTCATTTCACTGAATCAGTTTTCAATCAACAAGACAACTCCAAAAGTAAAAAAAACACTGTTTTATACAAATATAAATGTCTATAAATTTTACAGCTACAATGTTTTTCTAGAGTTTTTACCCATGTTGGAACTCCCATACATATATTTTGACCCCATCCTTTGAAATTCCCCATTGAATATACTCTCTATACAGCTACATGTATATAAGCCACCATCCTAAGGAAACACTCAGCTGTGGTTGTAAAGTGTCTACAAAACATTTTCCATAAAAGAAAAATGAAATATTTAAGGATAAAATTGCAAGAGTTTTTATTTTCATTGTTTTAATTTTCAATAATTAGTTTTTGTAAATACTTACTCCGTTTTGTGACATTCCAAATGGACCTGGATTCATAGCTAGGAAGAGAACAGATTTATCAGATGTACAGAAAGTTTTCAGGAACTTCAAATGAGTTTCAAATGCATAAACTAATGGATTGTAAATATGAGACACAGGTTCACCGAAACTTATCATCTTTAAATGCTGACATAACCTCTTTTCTGCTTCCAAAAATTGACAACATTTCAAATTATATGATTCATCTGCCACATAGTTAAATATTGTGGCTGGCTTCAAAATATCAGCATTTGGTTCTTTAGCAGAATTACTGGAAGCTTGGTCATTAGAACTGCTGTAGTTTTCATTGTCGTGACTTTTTGAATTTCTAAGTTCTGTTTGACTATTAGAATCAGTACTTAGAGATGAACGTGAAGTTTCTGACAAACAATTTCCTTTTGCAACAGTATCATTAGGTTCTGCAACTTCATCCCACATGTTACAAAGTTCATAGTTGCAGTCTTCTATCCCACCTCTCATTTTCTTAGCTCTCTTTGAATTTGAGGAGGGTTTACGTCTTTTAAGGATCAATGAGTCTAGATCTTCAAAACCATTATCATCATTATTAATCGGTAAATGTGGATCTTGAAATGTTTTGCCATAAAGTTCTTCTGATTTTATATTTGGATACATTCCGTAATTTTGATAGGAATGGCCTGGCTGATTATAATATTGTTGGAAATTAACTTGTGAATTAACTGGTGGCATATTGTTCATAAAAGCATATGGATCATACTGCGAATATGCTACATGACCATGATGACTGACAGCACTTTGGTGGTTATTATGATAAACTGGTTCATGATCTGATGGCAGTTGTTTTTCAGTTTTTATATGGTCTTTCCACATTTGAGACATTTCATTAAGTTTATAACTGTAATAGTTTTCTGCACCAGTTAATCCTGCTGCAGCATTGCTTTTATCTTGTGCATGTTGGTGAGCTTCTTGTGCATGTTGGTGTGCTTCTTGTGCATGTTGTGCATGTTGGCGTGCTTGATTGATTTCTTTTGCTTCTAAATGGTTAGATCTTTCTTCATAATTATTACTATGTTGAGGATAATTCATAAAGTTTGCAAAGCTTGGTAAGCACTCTTTGTAATAAAGAGACTGTTTATCAGAGTTTTCACTTTGGCCAACAGTACATGGATTATACATAGATACTGGTTTTGAATTTGTGCATGTTAAATCTAATGCTGTAGATGATTGTGCTGTATCATAATAAAAGTTATTGTTTGGTTGATGTTGTTGTATGTTTGGGTTGCTAGAGTTCTTTCCACAGAAAAATGACTGAAATGAGGGCAAACTTGAATTAGATCCGCCTTGATGATCCATAGTTGTTAAATGATTATGATTCAAAATAAGAACTATTATTACAAAGGAAGAGACCAAAATGAATCTCATAAAATCGGAAAAGGCAGATGTTTTATTGTTTTGTGAAAAACTAATGTATGCAGAAGTTGTTGAAACTTTTTCCACTTTTTACTGCGATTTCTGCTCCATATTTTGATCAATGTTTTATCTAACGACATGAAACATAACACTATAAATAGTACAAGGGTAATAACACATGAATTCACGGTTCAGTGAAGTAAATAAAGCCAAAGTTTGATTATCATAATCAGCATGATGTGAATCACTGACATTCTCCATTTTGTCTCCATCACATGATCAGGGAGGCTTTTTTTAATCTTTCTAAATACCAGAGTTATGTCTCTGTAAATACAAAATAGAATAACGTTCATTTTGCATGATATAGATTTAATATACAGTTTTAGTTTCATCAAGCTCTTGTGCAGTAGATAATTTTGAAATACATATCATATACAAAATAAGAAAGATAGATGAACTTAGTGCTCCCTAAAGGATATGACGTTTATGTCACACTAATTCGGTTTCCGGAACAATCAAAACAGACGAAGAAATTTAGCTTTCATTTAAAAATAAGACAAAAATGAATCGACTATTCGGAAAAGGCAAAGAAAAAACTCCTGCACCTAATCTCACAGACTGCATTTCAAATGTAAGCTAACTTAATGACTCAGATCAGTGTAAGATAACAGCATAAGTCGCTGGAAGTGGAAGTGAAAAATATAGAAGGCAAATAATATTTTTCATGTCTCCAGTTAAATTTTTTATAATGATATGACAGGTGGTTTTTGTATCTGTATGTATACGTCGTAGCAACCAATAAGACTTAAATCATCGGGTACCGTAGGTGGGATTAGAAAAAAAAAAGCTTTGAATACAAGTATGAATCAGGCCGAGTGAATCAGGGTCCGATCACCCAAAATCACGTTCACGCCCATTCATGTTCGCACCCTGGGTCTGTTCGCACCCCTTTTTATAGGTTTTGTGTTGAATACATTATTAATCGTGTTTAAGTAAATGTATTGCAATAAATAAGTTGTTTGTATATTGTTTCCTCAAAATAAAATAATATTCTTAAAATGTATTGTTTCCTTTAGTGTTTTATTAATTATTTTGACGAAATGAATCATGAATAAAAGATTGACATAAAGATGACAAAGTTCATTCATCTAAGACTTGTATTGAAAAAAAAGAAAGGCGGTAGATTCCAAATCTTCTTTGATTTTATTCATAACAAGCTAACTGCAAATGTACATGTTATATTCACATCAAAGCTTGTTATAACAACGATCATGATTTTCAAACACAGAACAATAATACCAAATTGGCTTTGTAAATACCAATTAACAGTAATCATACCTAATTAACACTTAATAATTAATCATCAAATCACAAATAAATATTTCATTTAAAAATTGCTGAATTTTATTAATGAAAATATAAAGATTTTAATAAAGATATCTAAAAAAAAACATCTAGAATTCAACCAGTATTTGAATAAAAATAGGGTGCGAACGAATCCAGGGGGCGAACTTGTAGGGTGCGAACGTGTGTTAGGAGCGAAAGGACCCAATACCTTCAAGTACAGTCTTAGGCAACTCGCCCCACTTATGAAAAAATGATTAAATCCTACTACTGAATTAAGGCCTACCAACTCGCCCCACTTATGAAAAGGAAATAAATCTCGATGAACTAAGGTCTGCCAACTCGTTCCACTTATGAAAAGTAGTTTAAACTCGATGAGTAAAGGTCTGCCAACTCTCCCCACTTATGAAAAAATTAATTCCTGCTGAATTAAGGCCTACCAACTTCCCCCACTTATGAAAACTTTTAAAGGAGTTAAATCTCGATGAATTAAGGTCTGCCAATTTGCCCCACTTATGAAAAGTAGTTTAATCCTAATGAATAAAGGTCTGCAAACTCACCCTGCATATGAAAAAATAATTTAATCCTACTGAATAAGGGCTATATATCAACTCGGCCCGCTTATGAGAAGTAGTTTTAATCCCAACTGCAAACTTGCCTCACATCTGAAAAAAGAAATAAATGAATTCTGATGAAAACCTTAGAAAGGCATCTTGTTTTTTTTTAACTGCTTTTCTTTTGGTTGAAACAAAGCAGAAAGAAGTAAGTTTCAGCATTTCTGTGACATTATTGACCATTGTAACTGTTTATGATGTTTGTTTTCTGGTTAATATAAAACACTGTTTTACGAGATAAGACAAGAATCATGAGTGTTTTCACATATACATAAGTATGCATTACAATAACATTAAAAAGCAAGCATACAATGAATTGATTATGACAAGCACTGAAATGATTACACAAAACAAAGTACTAGATGAAATATCAGCACATAAATACACAAAGATTGCATACTAGATTGTCATAAAGTCTCACTTAAAACAGATCAGTAGCTTTCGGCTTCCACAACTGGACCATTGACACGACCACACTGACTTAACAGTCTAGTTGTAGAGATGCTGGCGGCAATGTACTGCTTCCACATGTTGAAGCATCATTTAATTTCAATCAGAATCATAATTAATGATTTAATTTTTATGGCCCCGCCATAGCGGTGGCGGCATTAAGTTTTACCCTTGTCCGTCTGTACGTACGTCCCAAAATTGGTTTCCGTTCTCTAACTTGAGTTTGCCTCAACCAAATGTTATGAAACTTATACACAATTCTTATTACTACAAAGCACAGACCAAGTTTGAAATTTGGTGGTGTCATTTTAACCGTTCTAGAGTTATGCCCCTTTATAAATGGAAAAATTGCAAAATTTTTAGTTTCCGTTCTCTTACTTAAGTTTGCCTCAACCAAATGTTATGAAACTTATACACAATGCTTATTACCACAAAAAACAGATCAAGTTTGAATTTTGGTGGTATCACTTTAACTGTTCTAGAGTTATGCCCCTTTATAAATGGAAAAAATGCAAAATTTTTAGTTTCCGTTCTCTTACTTAAGTTTGCCTCAACCAAATGTTATGAAAATTATACACAATGCTTATTACCACAAAAAACAGATCAAGTTTGAATTTTGGTGGCGTCACTATTACTGTTCTAGAGTTATGCCCCTTTATAAATGGAAAAATTGCAAAATTTTTAGTTTCCGTTCTCTTACTTAAGTTTGCCTCAACCAAATGTTATGAAACTTATACACAATTATTATTACCACAAAAAACAGATCAAGTTTGAATTTTGGTGGTATCACTTTAACTGTTCTAGAGTTATGCCCCTTTATAAATGGAAAAAATGCAAAATTTTTAGTTTCCGTTCTCTTACTTAAGTTTGCCTCAACCAAATGTTATGAAAATTATACACAATGCTTATTACCACAAAAAACAGATCAAGTTTGAATTTTGGTGGCGTCACTATTACTGTTCTAGAGTTATGCCCCTTTATAAATGGAAAAATTGCAAAATTTTTAGTTTCCGTTCTCTTACTTAAGTTTGCCTCAACCAAATGTTATGAAACTTATACACAATGCTTATTACCACAAAAAACAGATCAAGTTGAATTTTGGTAGTGTCACTTTAACCATTATTGAGTTATGCCCCTTTATAAATTGAAAGATTGCAAAATTTTTAGTTTCCATTCTGTAACTTAAGTTTGCCCCAACCAATTATTATGAAACCTATACACAATATTCATTACCACAAAACTAAGATCAAGTACAAATTTTTTGTTTCCGTTTTCTAACTTTAGTTTGCCTCAACCAAATGTTATGAAACTTATACACAATGCTTATAACTACATCATACAGATTAAGTATGAAATTTGGTGGCGACACTTTTACCATTCTTGAGGTATGTCCCTTTATAAACATAAAAATTGCTGAATTTTTCGTTTCCATTCTCTAACTTTAGTTTGTCTCAACCAAATGTTATAAAAATTATACACAACCGTTCTAGAGTTATGCGTGTTTACAAATATAAAAATTGCTGAATTTTTAGTTTCTGTTCTCTTCTTAAGTTAGCCTCAACCAAATGTTATGAGACTTACACACAATGCTTATTACCACAAAACACAGATCAAGTTGAAATTTGGGTAGCGTCACTTTTACCGTTCTTCAGTTATGTCCCTTTATAACTATATGATATGCAAGCGGGGGCATCATCTGTGTCCACATGTGGACACTATCCACATTTTCTTTTTTTATTAGTATACAAGTGTTTTTTGTTTATTTTTGTCTATTGTTATGTTGTTATTTTAGCAGTACAGATGGGGAGATTGTGTAGATTACACTAATTTTCATAAGTGGGGCGAGTTGGCAGGACTAAATTCATCGGGATTTTACCATTTTTCATAAGTGGATACAAATGTTGAAATTAAGTGTCATATTTTCCTATATAGCCATATGATTTTTTTGTACAGAAATTCATATTTGTTTTTAAACAGATTTCCCTAAAAATATAAATTATTAATATATTTCAGAATTACTGCAAGAAACTGCACAGACATTTCTGAATTTAATGAAAAGGAAATCGCCCAATTTGGACAAGAAAATATTTTCAGTAGATTTAAAAAAAAAAATGTGTTTTTATATGAAATAATAGGGGAATTTCTGATAGGAGAAACACTATGACCCAAGACTGTATATTGTTTCTCGCTTGATTTTAGACAATAAGAAGTTTAAGGTATCAAACTTTGTAGCTGTTATGCATGGTTCTCCTTGGTCTTGCTTTCAATTTATTATCTGGATTGATAGCAGGAACCAGCCTCTCAACAACCTTGTACATATACATGTATATAAATATGATTTTGGCTAGTACCAGACATGTGACATAGATTTCAAGTCACAATGGGAGATTTAAAAATTATCAGTTGTAGATAAGGGCTCATAAATAGAGATATTTTTTTGTAAATATTTATTGACGTTTTCGGTGTTTTTTTTAGTAAAGCTACATATATATCTCACATTTTTTATTAAGATAAGAGTATTATATTAATTTTAATGAATTAAGATAAACATAGAACTCAATTTTGCCTTTGTCATGTTAAAAATTGCTTTGAACCTCTCTTGACTTAATGAAGAAAAGAAATGAGTTTTCAAGCATCTATTCATAAATCAGTTATCAAAATTTTTAAAAAGTCAACAACAATATAATTAATATGTACTGGATAGATTTCACTACCTCGTCACCTCCATAATAAGCTGTTCTATTTGTATTTGATTTTTGTTTCATAAGTATTCTTTTTTGTCTTTCTTTTTGTTTATCTCAATTGTAATAGTCTGTGCCTATACTAAATAATGTCATCTAAAGTATTGATTTTATATTTAAGCCAGATCATGCATGATCATCAGGTCATAGAAATTTACAAAAATATTTATGTAAATAAATTTCTACTGAATTTCAGTTTAAGCATTGAAAGTAGTAAAAAGCTCTCAAATAATTTCGATAAAATATTTGCCTATTTGTCCTAAGATCATGAAGATAGTTAAAATCATTTAATTACTATTCTTATATAATTCTTCCTTAAATTTGTATTGCATTTATATATCTTTTACCAGTTAATATTATTTTATGCGATGTAACTTGAAAAAACGGTAAAATAATGGAAGAAGTTTGAAATTTCTATCAAGTGTTTCAAATACACAGATCATTTATAAAACAACGGTAGTTATCCCAGGTAAAATACATTAATTAATACATGTAGTATGTTTGACAACTAAACTGTCAAGTGAAGCCACAGAATTATTGAAGTTGTATGATTTTACAGGTAAAATTTACGCCACCTGGTCCAGATGCTTTTGATAGATTTACATCTTTGTGTAGTCTTTCTATTGTTAGTTCAGGTGTGTTTTGTTGTTTTGGGTATTGATGTTGATTGGTCAATAGTGAAGATTGATATTGTTGAATCAGTATTTCAGCCTTTTCTTTTCTCTTACTGGTATGCTCCCCTTGTACTTTAAAGGTGATACTTCAATACATGTACATGTATTATGAAAATAAAAAGATGTGGTATGATTGCCAATCATGTTATGACCAGTGATGGGTTTGTGATTAACACTATATTAAGGAGGTTGTCTTCTTGTTGGTGATTCATGGATTTGAATGAGTTGGAAGCAAGCAGTTTATTTTGAAACTCCTTGTCGTTTTGCAGACATTTATTAGCAGTTTATATCTGGCATGTCTGGACAGTTTATATAATTAAGTCTCCAGTTAGCATGTTATTAGTGTTTTTACTTGCTGTCAACTATACTTTTTTGTAGAGATTTTCAAACAAGAAAACCAATGGCCTGATTAATGTTTAAACAATAAATGAAAAACAAATTTCAAACAACATCAACCACTGAATTACTGACTTGGGAAAGGCTCATACAGAATGTGGCACAGTTCAACATGTTTGAGAGCACTTCACACCAAACTTAAAATGTCTGACAAAAAAGACAAAAGGACCAATCTAAGAGTCCTAAGAGACAAACATCTATCTGACTGAGCTAGCTTGTCTTTGCTCTAATTCCTATATGCAGCAATCTCAGTGGAGAAGTAGCAAATAGAAATTTTAAAGTGTTTATTTTGATTGGGTCTGGAATCAAACTGAAACCCACAACCTCCTGCACTTGAGACATGTATATGCTACCACTGAGGCAGTTCATTAGATGATGATGATGATGGATGGCTGCTTAATGTCCAGCGGCAAATTAATATGCATATTCAGGACGAGAACATTTTAATGTAATATGAATATTAACCCTGCTTTGTACTAGACCGACACGCTGAGCGCGATGTTTAACATGCTAGTTCATAAGGTAACAGATCGCAGGAAGACATGTCACCTTACCTGGACACATTATTCTGTCTCTGAGCTGACCAGTCTTTGCTTTTACTCCTAAATGCTGCGTGGTTAGCGGAGAAGCAGCAAATACCAATTTTAATGTCTTTGGGTTGACCCGGCCTGGGTTCGAACCCTCGACCTCCCACACTCTAGGCGAACACGAGACCACCGAGGCGGTTCAGTTCATTAGAGATTGGTACCACATGTACATGTATGTATAAATTATGTACAAGGATTAGCAGAGTATTTGGTCTTTTTTAAGAATAAGAGGCTGGATTTTGATGCATTTTTTATTTAATTCATATTAAACTTTTTTTTTAAATGTACTTTTATAAAGAATTTTTTATAATTCAGATTGACACTAGAGGAGATTCTATAGACAAAAAAATTGCGAGGTTAGATGCAGAATTAAAGAAGTATAAAGATCAAATGAAGAAAATGAGAGAAGGACCTGCAAAGGTAAGACACCAATTCTATTAATCAGTTATTAACTGAATTTTAAGAAAGAAGATTCAGTTATGTGAGGTAGTATCACAGGTAGCTCCAACTGTTTCCATGCAAGAGCTTTTCTACCAATGCTTTTCAAACTTTAATAGGTAGGTTAAGATTGGATTTGACGATTTTCCATTTGATGTTCATGAATTATGGCCCTTAATTTCTTTTACACTAACACTAATAGATGGTAGAAAAACTTGTTTACCTGTCATTTGATATGACAGGATTCCTTATAGAAATTATTGTCATTAAATTACAATTTTTATCTATTTTTTTGTGTTTTCCAAACTATGATAGATATATATAACTTTTTAAATGCTAAAAAATAAATCACGATGTCCTGTACCTTTTAATTTTTGCTACATGTTATGTACAACAGTACATTTTAATATTTGCTGGATGTTATGTATCTTTTAATATTTGCTGGACAGTTATGTACAGTTTCACACAAAATCTAAATTAAATCAAATAAATTTACATATTTTATCAGCAAATGAAATTAGGCATTAGTCTGTAGAAAAACTGTTAACAGTTCTTGAATAAGTATAAGTTGTTAGTAATAGTTAGAATTAGAATTTAATCAATTTTTAGAGTGAAAAAAATGCTAATATTCTTTTTTTTTAGTCTGCTTCATTTTATACATTGGTAGAGATAGAATCACAATAAAAATATCTTTTTGCTTGATTGTTGTTTTTATGCCATATTAGATTGAAACAGCGTATGTCAATGCTAAACTAGAGTGAATTGATTAAAGCAAAGCAGGTGAAACCAAAACCCAGATAGGAAAGGTAGCCTTTTGAATATGTGGTGATAATCTTAAAGAACATTACACTGAAGCAATTAGCACTAAAAGAAACTTTAATAGTTAATAAAATATTGTTTTAATCTTTTCAGAATATGGTAAAACAGAAAGCAATGAGAGTTTTAAAACAAAAGAAGATGTAAGTTGTATATATGTAAAAATTGAATTTTGAATTTTCAAAATATTTGATACATGTATCATAAGTTAAACTGTATTGATATGAAGTTATCATTTTGTTTCAACATATGTAATATGGTTGTTTATGTTTTTTGCACAGATCATAACTTGAAAGATGTGTTACATAGAGATTTATAGGTTTCATAACGAATGAGAATTGGATATCAACTTGAATTATTTAATTTCAATATACATGTAATAATAAACAAGCCTATGGCGAGTTTATTATTGCTATTTAAATTAGATAAAAAGAGTTGATATCAAGCAATATCCAATTCTCACGAGTTTTAAAACCTAAGAAATGTACATCGCATAACCTTTGAAAGTTAACAATGACCTAATGAATAGCCAATGGAAATGCCGTAATATTGTCTCCTGATGCTGAATAAGCCAATCAAAATTAACACTGTTTTCGTTTCACTTTTTTTGTATCACATTCTGTGCAGTGTGATACAAGGAATAGCTCTTCATGCAAGAAATAGATAACAGGCCACAATCATACGAGAAACATGATTTACAGATGACAATTAGATATACATGTACATATGTAATACTTCACACATTTAGAACATTAAACATTTTTGTTTCCCTGCAATGTGGTAGAATTCAAGACATAGGTATGGTATTCCAGCAGCTGCAATGTTCACAAATTGTATAAAGCTTAATCATTGGAAATATTACAGAAGGTAGAGAGTTAGGAAATCCAAATTTTATAAATAGATGTCATATGGTCTGAAATTTCTGTCTGACATAGGTCAGTTGTCCTTGACCTCATTTTTATGTTCTAATGGCTTGCTTAGGTCAATCCCATCAGTTTTCAAGATTCGTGTACTTAATATGAGTAAAAGGGCAACTATATTTGCTTTATAGATCATATTGTACATGTAAGTATGTATAAAAGGAGATTGATGGTTTACAACAAAACACACAAAAAACCAAAGACAACTAGAAGTTAACACACAGTTATCAACAATAGACAATAGTCTGTACCATATATTGGCCTGATTCTAGTGTTAGGAAATAAATGCTATCAACACCAAATTTTTAAAGGACAAACACACTTAAATTTTAAGTAAAGACATCCACTGACAAGGTTCCTGATTTGACGCATTGGCATAATAACATGTCTATGGTTTTAGTAGGTTATCAATCTCCCACCTTTTTATGACCACAAAAAATTTGCATTTGTATAATGCTATCAGTCGTCGTCTGCGTCATCGATGTCGTCCGATGACACATCTGGTGGCAAAAAAGTCGCCAAAAAAAAGCATTTTTCTAACAGTAGTTCTAGTTTCCAAATAATAACTTGTGTTTAAGTGTATGGATCTCTCTGAATTTGTAATACAAGGTTCCATACCTCAAAGGGAAGGCTGGGATTGAGTTTAGGGGTAATTACTCCAAAGGGGGGGGGTCAAAAAGTTTGGAGGGGATTTTTTTTCCATTTTTTTTGGGGGGTTCATATTTTTAATTTTCTTCGAGATTTTTCAAAATTTGAAGAAAAAAAATTGGGGGGGGGGGGAGGGATTTTTTTTGCATGATTTTTTGTTTTTTTCTAAAAAATTTCCATTTTTACATTGATTATTTCTGATTTATATATGAAAGCAAACAAATACTGATATGGCAGGAGATACACACCAAACAGGGCGTGTAAATTATTATATATAACAGATTAACAGTATTGCGCAATAACAAGAAATCTTCAGTTGCACAGTATTGCGCAATATCACTCTATTGCGCAATAGCAAGAAATCTTCAATTGCACAGTCAAACTTCAAAGTTTTATCACAATAAAAGAGAGATGCTTCTCCCTGATGACTTCACAACCTTCAGTTTAACCTTTTATTATAATCAGTAATAGCTTAATAGCTAAATAGGTGAAGTACCTTGTTTTTAAAAGGTTTTACCCTCCCCTTTTTCACCGAGAAAAGACAATATCTTGTGATTTGCTACTGTGCATTTAATATAGCAATTATACTTTTCTTAAAATATGTGTGTCTGTTTATTTGCATATTTGAATGACCAGCTGCTAATTAATGGTCAAATATTGGTGCAAAACACTTGTAAGTTGCATCAAATTATACTCGTATGAAGAGTGTTATTTCCCTTGATTATAAGCTATTCCTGTAGATTGGAATGATAATAACATAACAATGTCTTTAGTGTGTAATGTTGACTTACTATTTAACAATATTAAATGTTTCCATAAGTAATTAGTCCCTTTTTCAAGTCAATGACATTTATCTTCCTTCAGCGTCTCGATCATGCATGTAATTGTAAACAAAGATTTGCCTAAAAGAAGTGCTCCAGCCCCGTGCCAGTCATACATTTCAAATGCGAAAATTGTTGCTGATCTTTATAAATAATGTTAATCAAGAACCAACTGTGATAACTAGGTATTTATAAAAGACAACTAACCTTCATTTTCACAATCGTCTCTGGTGTACAAGATACAATCATGCATAATTCAGTCTGACAACTTCTCAAATTCATCTTGTAAATTGGGGCAATATGCGTAATTGATTTTATATAGGCGGTAATGGTAACGTTTTCCTCTGTAGCACAGTCCATACCGTAAACTTGGATATGCATGATGGCTCATTTCGAAGCTGAGACATTTTCACATTTGTGGTTAAATTTTCGGGGTACGAAGTGTGATTCATTTATCCATAAATTAGCACACCCCGAAGATCCTTTCGTGTTGGGGCTCCTGGTGGTAAAAAATCCCCTTTTTTCACACAATAAGTTCTTTGAAAATTTAATACTTTGCATACATTTAATAACTGCATAGTTTTTACACATTTATTCTATGGTCCTCTACTTTTCAAATCAACACAAATGGTTAAGCTCAGTCAATTGTTAAAAATAGAAACATGTCCAATATCACTACACAGAGATTTTTTGTTTACACACAACTTTTGTGTTCCTCAATTTGAGGCGCATTAGGGATATTGACCTAATTGCACAGTATTGCACAATAGCAAGAAATCTTCAATTGCACAGTATTGCGCAATAGCAAGAAATCTTCAATTGCACAGTATTGCGCAATAGCAAGAAATCTTCAGTTGCACAGTATTGCGCAATAGCACAGTATTGCACAATAGCACATTATTGCGCAATAGCAAGAGATCTTCAGTTGAACAGTATTGGGCAATAGCACAGTATTGGGCAATAGCAAGAAATCTTCAATTGCACAGTATTGCGAAATAGCAAGAAATCTTCAATTGCGCAGTATTGCGCAATAGCAAGCAATCTTCAATTGCACAGTATTGCGCAATAGCAAGAGATCTTCAATTGCACAGTATTGCGCAATATCACACTATTGTTCAATAGCAAGAAATATTCAATTGCACAGTATTGCGCAATAGCAAGAAATTTTCAATTGCACAGTATTGCGCAATAGCAAGAAATCTTCAATTGCACAGTATTGCGCAATAGCACAGTATTGCACAATAGCACATTATTGCGCAATAGCAAGAGATCTTCAATTGCACAGTATTGCACAATAGCACAGTATTGGGCAATAGCACAGTATCACAATATCACAGTATTGAGCAATAGCAAGAAATCTTCAATTGAAAATGAATACAAATCTTTTAACCAATTTCAATGGGATTAATTTAAAGTCTTTAATTTTTGGGGTTTCTAACCTTGTATTACTATTTTGGATATTGGGCCCCATTTTTAAATTGGTCTACATTGAGGTCCAAAGGGTCCAAAATTAAACTTTGTTTGATTTCAACTAATATTAAATTTTTGGTGTTTTTTTATGTGCTGAATATAACCATGTTGTTAGATTTTGGATATCAGACCATAGGTAAATTAAATGTCCCATTTCAAATTTTTAAGATCTTTGACCACATTTATTTTGTGTCAGAAACCTATATTATGTCAAAAATTTGATCACTATTCAAATTCAGACAGTATCAAGCTTGAATATTGTGTCCAAACTTGCCCCAACTGTTCAGGGTTTGATCTCTGTGGTCGTATCAGGCTGCGCTCAGCGAAGCATTTCATTACATCTAGACTACTAACACCTGCTTTGTTGACTATTATCTTTAAAACTCAATAGATGTTTGAAATGTGGTCTAAATATTCCCTACAGTCCCAGGTGATTCAGTCAGGCTCCTTGTTGCCTCCATTTTTAATTTCCAAGCAATTTTACGGAAAATCAGCTAATAGTAAAACATAGAACCCTCTCTCTTACCCCATATATTTATGGAAGTTGGTTAAGAATCTAAAAGTTACGGAAGAAATATGAATGGGCCGGTTTACTGGACGGGCGGAATTACAGGACACTACTGTATTTCATGATGACTGATCTTGATCCATTTTGTCATTTATGACAGACCTAGTAATGGGCAGGTCAATATTTTATAAGATACAAAACATTTTTTCAACAAATATAATAAATAAATATGTTACAGAAGTAGGAATATGCATTTACATCAGAACCTTGATATTTATATACAGATTTAATCGTAAGTTTTAACCATGGCACAAAAAACCATAAACACGACTCAATAGTGGAAATGAATTAACACATTACATGTCTCAAAAATGGTTAAAATTTGCTATGTCTATATCAGTAATACAACTGTAATTTGAGATCTATATTATTTTAATCTATGCAGGTATGACAACCAGCGAGATAATTTAATGCAGCAGTCTTTTAATCTAGAACAACAGAATTACAATATACAGAATATTAAAGACACAAAGACAACTGTAAGACACATGTTTTTTTTTTGTATTTTTAACCAGTTAAAAATTATAAAGTTGATTTTATTATTTTCATGATAGAAATAGATTTGAAAAAGATACATTTTACTGATGTGAGTTTCTGTAGTGTTAAAAGCAGTTCATTTTCACGCATTTTATAAGACGGAATTAAAAACCATCTAATGTCTTAATGTAAAAAGTAAAGGTGAAATATTATTGCAAAATGATTGTACATTTTTTGGTCAGAATGAAATCAGGTCATTCAGAATGATTTTGAATTATACAAATGTTTTATATTAACCTATGTTGACATTCAAGAAAAAAATAATTTAAATTTTTAAGAATTCATTTTTTAGGTAGATGCAATGAAAGTTGGAGTAAAAGAATTTAAAAAAGCCTACAAGCATGTAGATATTGATCAAGTTGAGGTTTGTATAGATATATTTAGAATTAGCTTTACAGATAGGATGTGTTACATGTTATTTCTAAGTTTTCAACAACTCAAAGTTAAATCAGTCTTATTTGTTGATTGTCAGATCATAGGTTATAGGTTATTTGCATATTTAATTAAAATCCTAGTTTTCCTTTAAAATTAAAAACTGGCTAATCATACATGTTGACAAATCAGCAATCAGTGACATTTCCATAAACATTAATTGACAAGCTTTTTACTAATGCCAAATCACAAATAATTGGAAATTGATATCAAAATTGATAAAAATAACGATATTTTTAATTGATTTTTGCATTAACGCTTCTTTTACAATCATCATTATGCACAAATTACTTCCATCAACTGCTATCCAAATTTTGTTTATTTTAGTTTGTAGTCCACATATTTATTTGTGAGGGATTTTCTGTCAGTTGATAAGTTTAAGTTCTCTTTACATCTGATAACAGTGATTTTTTGGTGTGCATATCAATCAACATATCAATATAACTCGCCCCTTTTGTCATAAATCTTGAAAAAAGCAGATACGAAAAAAACTGATATACTGTAAATAGATAGTCATATAATGCTGTAATCTTTACTGTGTAAGTTAATCACAATATAAGTAATATCATTTTGTCCACAATAGATATAAGGAAAACCTATGCAAATTAGATATAAAAAAATTTCCTGTACTGAATTTTTACAATTTCAGAATTTGCAAGATGAACTTGAAGATCTATCTGAACAAGCCAATGATATTCAAGAAGTAATGGGCAGAAGTTATGGAATGCCTGAATTAGATGAAGATGACCTTGAAGCAGAATTAGATGCATTGGGAGATGAACTTGATTTGGAAGATTCATCATATTTAGATGATGCTGTTGCAACACCTTCAGTTCCTTCATCTGAGCCAGGTGGAGAGAGTATGAGAGTAAGTATTAAATCAATGCTCAATGTTCACAGATAATTATAATTTTAATACATTTTTTAAAGATTAATGACTGTCAGGTGAAAAAAAAAGTTATGTGGTTTAATTTTTTTACCTTACTATAATAGTAATTGATAGTCTTTGTCACAAACTATTACACTGAACGCACAATACTGTTTCAGTTAAGTTGCTACCAAGTGGAACTCTGCTTGTTATATGATAAATGCAGACTGGGCATGCAGTGTCCAGGTGTCAACATTTCTGTTCCAAGACACTATCTTTTGAATCATAAACAATATCTTTAACAAATTTGGTTTGATACTGCCCCATACCCATGGGGTGAACAAAACCCTATTGATTTTGAGGTCAAAGGTCACAGCAGCAAATGATAAACTAAACTTTTGGTGCAAAATTTGGTTTCTGGATCATAACTTTGGAATCATATGTCCAACCTTCAACAAACAAAGCTTGAAAATGCCCCTTGGAAAGAACAAGACCCCTATTGATTTTTGAATCAGGCTGTCAGAGGTCAAGATGACAATGTATACAAATAAACTGAATGTTTATGGGAAGAGTTTCATTTCAGGACAATATCTATTGAGCCATAAATCAGATCTTTGCCAATAGTTCATTGGATAATGCGCCTTTGGGATGAAAAAGACCCTATTGATTTTGAGGTTACTAGGTATAAGGTCAAAGTCACAGCAGCAATTCTTATCAGTTTAATAAAGCTGTCACTCAGAATTATACGATAATCCATGGTGCTTCCAAGTTACTGCTTTAATCTTTTTCTTCTGTGCTTGTTATCATGATATATATTTTTTTAAATACAGCAAGATGTAAAAAACTAATAATAATGGAATAATTGTATTATAAGTTAAATTACAATAGTGGACAACATCAAAAAAAATATAATAGAAAAAATAATTCTTGACACGTACATGTATTTGTCATTTGCAAGAGTTTGTAAAATATCTGCTCTATTTTCTTCAAGATAAACGTCTTTACAACATTTCATGCTTATATTAATATATTCAATGCAATTTAAAATTTTAAAAAGTAGTTGTATCACAAGGGGAATAACTCTTAATACTTTTTTCTTCTTTTCTTACAGGACAATGTACCTGTTGATGAATATGGACTGCCACAAATTCCACAAACAGCAAAATAACAAAGACCAATTGTGATCAATATTTATCTACTGTTTTCTTGTCTATATATGTAATAGAACAATGTGTAAATAATGGTTATTTACTAAGAAATGATAGATTAAGTTAGGTTTGACAGAATCATTAGTCATAGCCAAATTTCTTTGTGATTCATTTTAGATAATATATTTAAACTGTGCAATCTATTTGCACATTACTTAATGAGGCAAAAACAAAAAAGGTGTGTGTTTAGGGCTAAAAACCCTAATTTTGAGCTCTGACTTGTTTTTATGAAGATTTCTTCAAAAACTTTTCACCAACATACATGTGCAAACTTGATCAACATCATCACTATGTTCATTTACAAATTGCAAACAGTGAACCTCCTGTAAAGCTTTATGTATAACACAGGAACCAAACTGAGTGAAAAAACACAATACTCTTCAGATCGTGACAGAAAAAACATCTGACCTATAATTTTTCAGAAGGTAAACCCTAATACACATATATTTTTTTGCCTTATTAAATCAAAGATCTGGATTTTTCTATTCTGGTCGTCTCTTTCTTTTCCTTCATAAACAGTTCTAGACAATATCTATTTGTTCCTTCAACTAAAACATATTAAAATGTTATGTGGTTTATTTTTTAAGAGCATCTCCAAGGCCTCCTGCAAGTACACAAATTAATTTATTTTAGAAAAAAAACGTATAAATATTGATATACAATAATAATACAGATGACTGGATCTTTTAAAATTTAGAAAAACTTACTGATATGTCTTCAAACAGGTTTCATTATACAACACATTTACTGTTCTACAATTTATTAGTATTTACATTTGATAATTTTCACTAGGGATACTATTTGTAAACACATCTTAACGTAGTTTTTTGTACAAATAACACATAATTATTTTATACTGTTTGGATAACACTTTCCTTTCCTGTTTGATTCCCTCAAGAATTGAAGGAAAATATACCCTTATCCAAACCATTTATTATTTTTTTTACCTGAAAATACAAAAATGTGGATCCAATTTATTTAGGGGTGAAGTGATGTGAGGTGATTATGCTTTTATCTGTTCACTGATATGAGACGGTTAGAATGTGAGCTGTAATCCTTTAGTTTACTGGGTTTTTTAATCATTCATTGTAAGAAAATTGGATTTAGATTAATAAAATACTGTATGTGGATACTTTTGTTGCAGATGTGAAAAACTTTTTGGCTGATGTTATTTTATTATTGTCGTACTTGTAATAGAACTTATGTAAATAAAATTCATTTTATGATAACACATTTTCGGATTAGTTAGCTAGGCACAAAGAAAAAGTGATGATTAAAATGTGTTGGTTTTCTCTAAAAAAAATTGTTAATTAAAAAAGATATGCCACTATTAGGGCATTAGGAAATACCTAGATTCTCATTTAACTTTTTGAAAAATTTGAGGAGTGATTTTTTTTGTTGTTGCTTTTTTACCATTTTAGTGAAAACTTAACAGAAAAATTAAAGAAAATTGCAAAAAATCTAAATATTTTTTATTTGCTCTTAAAAAACTTGATCATGGAGGATGAGAATCTATGATTTTTATACTCCCAGAAGAAAAAAAATTCTGGAGCGTAAGACATCCCTATGTTACTCAGCCTGTCCTTCCATTCGTCTGTCTGGATTTCTTGCTTTCTGGATGGCAACTCGAATTTCCTTGGTTGGTTTCAAATAAAACTTATATAGATTGAAAATATATCAAGGTCACAGCTGCTGAAAATAAACTGATTATACATGAATATAGAAATATGAGGTGATATTTTGTTGTTTCTTGGTGATTTCTTGAGGTACATTTGTTGCAATTGAGAGGTTAGCCAGGGTCTGATGTACCCCTGTCAATTTTTAAGGGTTCTCCAAAAGGGTTTTCTGTATATTAGGGCTCTAGGGGAGTTTTAACAATTTTGATTTCTTGATATAACTATTACTTTTTAATTTTTCTGTTTTCATCAATATTATTTGATATGTGGGGGACAATCCATCAATTTTGTAGTTAAGGGAGCAAAGGTTGGCCATGCCAACTTTGTTCTTGTTTTATAATTGCCCAATAAGAACTTTAATGTGACAAAGACATGAAAATTAGTAAAGTGTAATGTTTGTTTAAGTTATTTTAGTTATATAATCCTCATTCTAAATTAAGTTTGTATATAAAAATGTATAGTTAAAACTTCATGTGATCAAATTTAGCTTTATCATGACTTTCTACATGGGGAATATTGTCCTCTACTGTGAATTTGACTATTTTTTATAGTTACCAACTTTATTGATAACTGTACTAGGAATTATTGCCAAACTATCTTCTATCTTTCTTTTTAAAATTCTCAAAGCTTCTTAAAACTTACATAAACTCTATTTGTTGCAATGTATGAAGGAAATTAAAAAATTCTTAAAAATATGACAGAATGGAGGAAGGGTTTTAACCTCCTGAGGCATTTTGTGAAATTTATTCATGATGCACACTCGACCACTCATAAAGTAGCCCTAGAAAGATGATTTACAAACATTGTTAAAAAGAAATTTCTAAATGCAAATTAGTGCTCTCAACCGTTAGAAACATATTTATATTTTTAATTTATTGAAATGGTTTTCATTATTTTATAATAAAACAAATAATGTATAAAAAGGTTTTGTTCTTATTATATACAACAAACTGTGAATTATTATAATAGGCATTATTGCCCTAAAATGAAGATTTTTTTCATATTTTTTTAAAACTATTATCCATAGAGAGAAACTTTTGACAATCAAAAATGATCCACAAGACAAGATCTTCAAATAAGTAGATATTGCCAAAATTGTTGGTCAACTCTTTGTAGGAGTTAATACCCCTGAAGTGATATTTTTTACCAGTAGTTTGCATTTTTAACCGGATTTCCGAAGGAAAAATCAGTTATTGATTTTTGGATGTACGGTGGGCAGGAGGCTGCCAAACAGTGTCCATTCATTAACATGAAAACGCTTTGACGAAATCTTTTCAAATTTAGATATGTTGTTTCCTGTACCTAAATGAAGGTCAAGTTCAATTTTCACGATTTTAGCTTTTCTCGTTGTTGAGTTGTCGAACCTTTTAGTAGTTAAAAATTAATATTTATTATGTGATTGAGTTATTTCCCTTTGAACAGAAATTGTTATTTGACATCTTCCATTTAAAAGTGCACCAGTGTCTGTCAAATATCTAAATGGGCTGTAATCAACTAATTACAATTCCAAAATCCTTCCCGGAATGTTGGGGGATTTGTTTGTGAAATATTTAACAATAAAAAATAACTTTATAAAGAATATAAGTTATTATTTGCCATTTATTAGATAAAACTATGTTGCATTCGCAACAAATTTGACGGACTTGCGCTACCGTAATTTATGAGGTCGTATTTGAGGTCTATAACTGTCTGTAACCTATTGGAATTACGACTATTCACGGTTATAGTATATTTCTTCACAAGTCAACCAAACAATAACGGTGCTTTTTAATCACTGGATGATCATAAATATGTCATTTTTTTTAATTTGAAAATCGATCATTTCAAAACAACCGTTCTGTCAGCAATTTTGACGTTAGCAATCTTTCTCAAACACACGTGAACAGTTGGTTATTTATAAATAACTATTCCTGCTGATTCATGTTATAAAAATAAACGACCACAAAGACTAAATATGCATCAGTTGAACCACATATTTTTGTTGACAGTATATTTATCAACGTAAATAATTTTGCGATCGTCTTTTCTGTCAAAGTTATGGACTGACGTTAGCAATGTTCAACTTTGACTTTCGGTGTCATTCAGTGCGATAATAAATCTTTTGCCGCTTGGAGCGCTTCTAGATTACGTCACACAACGAAAAGCATGGCCGGTGACTGCCAACATCAACAGGTAAACAGCAATCTTTTTATTTTTTCATCCGTCTGTCAATATTTTTTGATGTTAGCAAATAATGACGATTGAAACATGTTATTAAAAATGTCATTTCTAACAGTTCCTGTAACCGATAATTTTACATACACCATCCTGTACCTATTTTAAAGAAATAAACACCAGGAAACGCGCAAAAATCGACTCGAAAGCACATGGATAATAATTTGTGATTGCGATCGTCAAATTTTGACAGATGTTTATTTTCCGATTGTCAAATTTTGACAGATTTTTTTTTTGCGATCATCACATTTTGACGGACATTACTCATTCATTCGTCAGAATTTGACAGAAATTCTTTTGCTATCGTTATAATATGACAGACGGTCATTTTTTCTAACAGACTTAAAGAAATAAATGGTCAAAACGATATTCACTTTTGACAAATTTGATGGTACTTCAAACAATCTGAAAGTAAATGGAATGTGCGTAATTATAATAATGTAAATACCCTGCATTGGACAGTTGGATACCATGAATCGACGAAACTTGTGGAGGGGAACCAGAATTAAATATGATAAAAAATACATCAAGCCTTCAAGGCAATTTGGAATACTTAATTAAAATGTTGGGTTCCAAAATGCCTAAAATAAATAAAGTTGTAGGGTTGATTGATTGATGAGATGAAACACCACGTTCTACACATATATAAAAATAAGATGTGGTATGATTGCCAATGAGACAACTCTAGACTGGTCAGAGACCAACATTCTACACCTGCATATATTTTTTAGGTAGTTCTTTGACATGGGGGATCAAGTTAAAAGTAAATCTGCTCAATATAGGAAAAAACTTAAAGAAGAAAATCCTCTAAAATATTCAGAATATCTGGGAAAACAACGTGAAAGAGCCAAAAAGAATAGAGAAAATCTAAAAAAAGAATTGAAGAAAAAAAAACCATCTGATGAAGCAAAAAAACAAAAACATCGACAATTAGAACAACAAAGGCAAAGGCAAACTCAGTACATAGAAAGAAAGAAATCAGAGAATGTAAACTGGAAACCAAAGAAAAAAGAGAAAGTCACTGATACGCAAACCAGGAATGCAATAAAAAGTCGTCAGCAATACAATAGAGATAAAAAAAGATTAGAAAGGAGTAATATGTCATACCAGAAAATTATGTGGATCCGAAAAAAAGACAGAGAAAAGAAAGCTGCAAAAAGAAAACAGAAAAGGGAAGACGCTGATTCAAAGATCAATAAAAAAGGCAAACTCATGCAAGATCAGCATGGAAATGCATTCAGTTCAAAACAAACTGAATGGAATGTAACAACAAAGATAAGGACTGCATTGCCTAATACACCTGTAAAATTTGCCAAAATTGTCAAGAATTTAGTGGAAAACGCCACACCAATGAAGAGAAGATCTATGGAAAAAATAGGTATCAAATCTGGTAAAATTAGATTAAATGGCATACCTACAGACATCAAGGCATCTTCAGAAGGCAAAAGTGCCCTCAAAACAATTGCAAAGTCCCTTGTTCATGAAAGCAAAAGATTTTTGAGTAAACAATTGGCACTTAATAGGAGAACAATCACCAGAGTTATTTCAAAGATGGGGAAACAGAAAGGTACCACAGTGGGTAAAGAGGGTATACAGAACTTTTACAAAAGAGAAGATATCGCAAGGATACTACCACAAAAAAGATTTGCTACCAAAGATGGCCCTGGGTATGGTATGCAAATTTCCGTGAAAGCAGCTCATTCAAAATACTTGGCAGAAAATCATGCAAAGCCTGTAAGTCTTGGAAAATTTGCAGCTCTACGGCCTAAAAATGTACGTAAACTTGCAGCCAGTCACAGGGAGTATTGTGCCTGTGTTTACTGTGTCAACATTAGATACAAACTGTTGGTATTGAGCAGGACAGTGAAAGATTCCAGCAAAAAGAAAACGTGTGAAAAGGATATTTTGGATATACTGTTGTGCAACAAATCAGACAACGAACACTTTCATAAGTGCCAGTGTATTAATGGTGAATGTTCAATATGTAATAACTACAATAGGAAACTCCAGCTGTTTTACAACGAAATCCCTGAAAATAAAGTAATGAAGTGGAGTAGATGGGAAAAATCAACAGACATCGTAACCAAAAAAGTAAAGAGAATTATAGTAACTAAGTCTGGAAATAAGGGTACATTATTGAAAGAAATGGTAGAAGAAGACATCATGAAGCCAGCACAAGGAACAACCTTTATCAAACACCTGCATAATGCGCAATGGCAAAATAAACAATTCAGCACATTAAAAAATACTTTGCCACCGAACTGGACACTACAAATAATGGACTTTGCGAAAAATAGAGGAGTAATTTATCAGAACGAGATTAAATCAGCCTTTTTCTCCCCAGAGCAAATAACAATGCATCCCATAGTAACTTACTATCAAAGTGAAGTTGGATTGGTGAGAGACTCAGCAATTATAATTTCTGAAGATTGTATACACGATTATCATGCAGTTAGGCACTTCACTGCTATTGTAGATAGACACATTGAGGGTAAAACTGGGAATGTCCCAACTCGAAAAGTAATCTTCTCTGATGGCTGCAGTAGTCAATATAAGTCTAAAGGCCCGTTTGCAGATTTATCTTTGGAAAACTCTGTTGAAATCAACAGAAATTTCTTTGGTTCAGAACATGGGAAGTCAGATTCAGATGCTGAAACAGGAGTTGTTAATAGAGCTGTTGATAGAGCGATTATAGGGAACCAGGTGATCATTAACAACAGTAAAGATATGTTCAATTACTGCAAAACTAACCTTGAATTGAACGAGAATCTGGGAAAAAGAAGTTTCTTTTTTGTAAAGAATGGAGACATAAACAGAAATAGACCAGAAACAGAGGTGAAACCTGTACCTAATACTCGAAAGATTCACCAAGTATTAAACATTAAAGATGAGCGATATACTTTACAGAGTAGAACCCTATCATGTTTTTGTCAGTATTGCAGACAAAAAGACTACCAAAATTGTCTTAACAGGGAATACGTGTCAGAATTTACTTTACAAACTTTAACATGTTTGAAAAAAAATGAAGAAAAAAATATAGCAAAACCCAAACCTCTCAGTGCTTCATCAGATAATTTAGAAAAAAAGAAAAAGGTGCCACAGAAAATGAAAAATGAAATGAAAGATAATAAAACAACAAAACAACCACTGAAAAAGCCAACTGGAAACATGAAGAAGAAAGATGGAGTCCAAAAGAAAGATATCCTTCAGAAGAAACAAAATCCCTTGAAAACAAACAACTCTGATATAAAAACACAATGTGACAACACTGAAATTAAAACCACTGGAAAAGTTCAAAATAATGTGAGGGAACATATATCAGATAGGGATGCTTTATTCATACAATTGCAATACAAATTGATAAATTGTTCATCCTTTGATGAATTCCAAGCTGAATGCCTAAATTCACTAACACTCATAGAGGGCTTTGAAGTAAATGTCAATCACCATATTTCAATTCTGAACCTCCGATGTGGAATAGATAAGGCAGCATTGCAACTTTTGGGAGAAGAATTTTTAGCAGTAAATATGTACCCAATAGAAGTTTATGGTGATGGAAATTGCTTACCCCGATGTGGTGCAGTATTTACTGGCTTGCACCATATTGAATTGCGGGTAAGAATAGCAATAGAAGGCATTGCCTTTGAGCATTTATACATGGATAACAAATTTCTAAACAAGGGTTCCAGGCACATATCTGGCAAAAACCATACATCTTTGTATGCTCAGTACTCTGATGAATTTGATCCATCTGCAGTCTTAACACCAGCTGTTGAAAGAAGGGTATATCGCAAAGAACTCATGGAAATAATAAAACCAGGCAGGTACATGGGGATTTGGCAGATGTTTTGTTTGGCATCTGTTTTAAAATCAAAAGTCAGATCAGTGTATCCCCTTTATGGCAGTGGAATGGTTCGAGAAGATCTGAACCGCATCATTTTCCCAAGAGATATTGGGGTTAGTCTTGAGAATGAAATCTGTATTATGTGGTCTCACATACATGGCTGCAATATTGATAGAAACTTGTGGAGACCAAATCATTTTGTGGTAATACTACCAATGGACAACTCAACTCAGGAAATTGATGTTGTGATGGACTCGGAGTCAGAATCTGAAGAAAACTGGAATGTTGGAGTGTCTGAAATCCTGGACCATCTGGAGGATATTGAAGGCAAACCATTGCTTGATATTAGCCTTGAATTCTCAGGTTTGATATCTTTATATATATAGTTAACTAGGAAGAAAAACAGATCTAGGGTTCATTTTGTAAACCTCAATGAGACAGCAACCCAACAACAAAACCAATACCAAATGGGGCCTTTTATAGCTGACTACTGTGGATTCATTATTATTCATGGGATACCAAATTTTAAGGGTATAGGTAAAAAACAAATTTAAATGTTCACCGAATCACAAACTTTCTATAAGCTTGTATGCAGACTTTTGCTAAACCACGAAATAAAATATCCACGAAAATACAAATTTTCTTTAAATACACGAAAATTGGTATCCACGAAAATAAATGAATCCACAGTAACTGAGTATACGGTATGGGGTTTTATTATTGTTGAAGGCTGTACGGTGACCTATAATTACTAATATTCACTTATTTGAACTCTGGTGGATAGTTGTCTCATTGGCAGTCATACCCCATATCTCTATATTTCTCATATTTTTATACAGATGATACAAATGTATGTCAACATGAGAAAGTGTTGTAATAGAACAAATTTACAAGAACAGGTACACAAAAGACACACAACGACAAACATTAAACAGTAAACACTAAAAAACATTGAACATTCCTGTCTAAAAATTCATCAGGTAAACCCATGATCAGATGTTAGGAAAATCAACATATATATTTCAAAATGACCTAATGAATTGCTCAATAAGTACATGGCAAGTCTTGTTCAACATTGTTCTTCAATCTTTCAGCACTGGACACGTTTCTCCAAACTGCAGACAAAAGAGAAGAAGAGCAGGTCATACTAGACGAACTTATAGTGGATAAAGCACCATCCACTCCATGCAGCAGAGCAGGAAGGTAGCTTAAATATGCTTTTTCCGCTATGTTTGAAATTTATGCTTCATTTTATTGGATAAAAGAGATTTTGAAATACAAATGATCATTTAATTGAAATCTTCTCGGAGAATAACAGATTTTTTTTTTAAATTTTGCCATGAATGATAAAACTGGAACCCATTTTCAAATATACACTTCTGTATGTATACCACCTTATATGCATGCAAATTACATTCATCAAGGCTCAAGTATGACAGAAATTTTGATTACTGTTCAAAGTAACTGTTACGGCAGTGATGTTTATTAATCATAATTTTATATTCATTGTACTGATTAGAATTGTATTGCCCAGTGTAAAACATCTGGCATACTCAAGTTAATAATTTTTGTTTCATGTTTACAGGCATCATGAAAACACAGAAGAGTCAAACATTGTTACAGAAAACAATGTTCAAGATGTTCCAACAAGGTATGTATAAGTGATATTCTCAACATTGGTATACATACATGTATATGTGATAAACAAGTAAAAATTAAAAAATCAAATCTTTTAATGAAAAATGAAATAGCATTTATTTCAGACACTTGCTTAATCAGGATGTAATCCAACACTTTCAACTTGTTCTCAATGTTTTTAACAGACATTTTAATAATGGTACAAACTTGGCTGTCAAGTTTGGAGATAGTATTATTCCAGCAGTAGTAAGTTGAGTTCATGAACAATTTTCTTGTTATTTCTGTTTTGTTTTATTCACAGTACACCATGAGATGATTATTCTCGAAAATATACTGGTACACAGTGTATAATTGAACACTGTGTCACCTCAAAAAATCCTATCAATACATTCATTATCAGGGAACTGTTCCTTTACTTTCAGTGCTTTTCTTATGTTCATAGGGAGTGTGTTATGTGAACCATTACATTAGCTCTAGATATGTCCCTTCATTTACTGTTTTGGGGTTTTACACAATTTTGGTATTGTCAGACAATAATCATCTCTCGTGTTCAATATACTGTGCTATGTTGCAAGCATAAACTTTCAGTTTGAAGAACACAACCTTTATGTTTCTAGTTCATGTTTAAAAAAAAGCAGATTAATTCAAATAATTAGTTATGCAAGTACAAATGTAGTAGGAGAATTATATAAATATCATATAGTCTGAAGTTAAAAAATAAAAAAATAAAATGAATCTCTCTTAACAAGTTTAACTGGAGTATACAGAAATTTCAGTATATAAATTATAAAGAAAGCTTGTATATTCACACCATTTTATTTTCACTACTGAATATATATATATACACACAACTGGCTGTCATTTCTAAGTAGTCTTTCCAATATTTTCTGTTCATTTATTTCAAATTTTGTTCTTAAAGATTTCTGAATGGCCATGGATACATTATTACAAATACTATAAAGAAGGAAAATGGATGGATGGACAGACACTGTATACTGTTGCTGCCACGGATGTTCTCAGAACTGTGGACCCGCCTGATATTAAAATGGAAGGCCGTCACCTGTTCTACATATTCAGTGGTAGGTACTTGACTGATAGTCATTGACAAGGCTTCTAACTTTTGACAAGCACATAAATATGTTGAGGGGATAAACTAGTTTTGTCTATATGTTCACAAAATCATTGATTAATCAGTAGAGTAGCACATTACTATACATGTTAATTTAACCAATGTTGTACATGTAGCAACCATAGTTCTAATGCTAGCTTTATCTATTGCAGATAAGGTGTTACAGTAAATTGCATAAATTGCTTCCATGTTGTTACTGTGCCTGTTTAGATAATTATAAAACAAGTGACAAATTATATATTGTGTATTATCAATGATATTAATTTATATAAATATAGTGTTATAAATGCAAATTATTTTAGTCAATACATTTTTTTCTTTTAAGGTGATGTTTTCAAGAATGGGCCTCAGAAGATCTTGGACTAACTACAGGAACTATGAAGAAAACAAATTTCTGTCAATGATTTTTGTTATAATGATATTATTAAATTGGATTCAATGCAAACTGTGTAGATCTTGTTCTGAAAAAAAAATTAGAATATATGTATTATTGGCTAAAAACTTGCGACTGCTTGATATTTATTTTAGTTACCAGTGATTGTGAGGAAGATTTGACCGAAACATTTAACAAGCTTTTTCAGACCAGGTGCTCTTTTCCCAAAAAGTCTTACGACTAAAATTGATTGCAAGTTATACTGAAATGTTCACGACTTACGAGTACTTTTTCTCGTAAGATTTTTTGTGAAATGAGTTGCAGAAACTTCTTTATTAATACTAGCAAATTAAGTTATTTTATTCAATGATATAAAACAAAAACAAAAACCGAAATAGATACATGGATAAGCAATGAAATATAGCATAAGTATAATAAATATAATGGCCAATCATCTATGGACATCATCACTAATTGGTTGTCTGCTATGGGATGCCTGTGTCCAGAATGACATCAAACTTTCTCCAATTTTTGTAGATATATGTTCCTAAAAATGACCTTCATGAGAAAAAAGGGGAGTGTCTTGCAAGAAGCAGACCCTGCTTAACCTTCCAGAGCACCTGAGGCCATCCCGTTTTTACAGGGTCTTTGTCTTTAGTTCTTTAGTGTTGAGTGTCAATTGGTTGTTGTTGTATATGTTTATTGTCCCTGAGATTGTCTTTGTCCTTTGTTTTTCCTTCTTTTTTGATTGATTGATTGCTGATTGCTTTACTCCCCATCAGCACAACCTTCTTTTTGACCCTTTGGCTGTGTACCCTTCCTTAATTGGTTTCATTTTACTTATTATACCATTAAATACTTGTTTGATCTTAACAGGAGGTGTCTGTTTCTGTCAAAACTTCATGTTGGCAAATCGATAGCATGATTTTATTAGAATTGTTGGTACATGTATCAAATAGCTTTCTGTCAAATTTTATGCTTGCAAATAGCATAAATTTGTAAAACTTTTATGTTAGCAAAGGGCATTCCCTCAAATATTTATGTTAGCAAATATCAATATGTCCACATTTTATGTTAGTGAATATTGTTCTGTCAAAACTTTATGTTAGCAAAAAATATTCCGTCAGAATTTTATGTTAGCAACTAATAGTCTGTCAAATGCTGACATTAGCACTACATTTGTCAGTCAAAAAATGACATTAGCAAAATACAAAAATCTATTTTTTTCTCTTGTAATAAAATCTCTATGTATGATGCATTGTTATATAGCTTATCTATAGAAGTAAAAAACAACTAAACTCAACTTTAAGCAAAACTATCAGAGTTTTATGGCATAAATATTTATTTATATTTGTTGCTAATGTCATAAATTCCGTCAAAATGTCTGTCAAAAATGACATTAGGAACAATTTTTTTTAAATTGTTTAATAAAAGATTATTATAAGGGGAATAAACTTTCTTTTTGCATATTTTGATTGTGTACCTTATTTTCTACTAATTTGCCAAAAAAGCTAGTAGAAAAGAGTTAACAAAAAAAAATATTTTCAAGGTAGTTGTTGGTGCACTTTTAAATGGAAGATGTCACTTGCAAGTATCATTTTCATTAGATAATAAGCTATTTTTATTAAAGGATATTTTTCATTACATTACATTGTGTAGATAATATTGTTGACATTGATAGATAAGTTGCAGATCTATATTAGTTTGTGACAAATGAATGAAAAAATGTTGGGAACTATTAATTATATATATAAAGTTTGATTACACTAAGTGTTTTTAAATTTTCACCTGTAATCAGATAACAGAGCATCTGGTAGATATCTAATCATACAATTATAATTGGAGTGACAGATTTATATTAAAATGTTCTGTTTCCTAAATGTTTTGATGATGATATGATCTGCAGGACAGTATAAATAAAGTTTGAAATTTATTGTTCATTATTAGACATTTTGAAGATAATTACAGATAAGTGCTATAGATTTTTAATAGATATTGTATTAATGATAAATGACATTTTGGATTCTTTTTTCTTCTTTTCTTTAGTAAATTGTTTGAAGAATTTTGTGGTAGGTTTAATTTGTTTGTTATTCTGTATAAACTTATTTTCTGAATGCTATATATATATTTTTTTTTTGATGCAGCGAACTCCTTTAAAAACCAAGCTTAGTTTGTCTATTAATAAACATATATTTAGATTTCTGATTTTGGGCCCAGTTTAAGTTGGTCCAAATGGGGGTCCAAAATTATTGAGGTTAAAAGGGTCCTAAATTAAACTTTTGTTTAATTTCATCAAAAATTGAATTCTTGGGGTTCTTTGATATGCTCAGATTCTAACAATGTACTTAGATTTTGGACCATAATAGGTAAATGTCCGATTTCAAATTTTTTAGTTCTTTGACCACATTCATTTTGTGTCACAAACGTATGCTGTGTCAAATACTCAATCACAGTCCAAATTCAGAGCTGTTTTAAGCTTAAATGTTGTGTTCATACTTGCTCAACTGTTCAGGGTTCGACCTCTGCAGGAAAATCCGGTTTGATGTCACACTGACAGCCTCTTGTTTTTACTTGATCCTGTTTGGGGGTCCAGATTTGCAAATATAATTTTCATGCAGGACAATCCGGTTTGCTGTCACTCTGACAGCCTCTTGTTGTCTATTATCTTGAAAACTATATTAAATAGATTAAAATATAAATAGCAATAATGATCAGCAAGACAAGATCTACATTCATGTCAACATGGCCCAAATTGTCAGTCAACTCCTTATATGAGTTCATGACTTTAATGTCCTTAGAAATGAAATTACACCATGATGATATCTAAATGAAACATTGAATTACGGAAAATTCAAATAATTACATTTTTGGGGCACGTTTGAAAACTTCTCATTTTGGCACTTTTACCAAACTGAATGGCTCAAGAAGTGAAATTTCTATTTATGATCAACAAAAGGTCAACATAGCCGAAATTGTACCTAGCATACATCGATTACCACATTTTAGTGACAGTTCATAAGTTTAAACTGCACATATGAAGATGTACTTGAAAGGTTTTATTCAAAATAAACAAATTCATATACAGTTAAATAGTAGCCATTTGCATCCTGATTGTACTACAAAAGTCCATTATAACCTTGCAATATGTCAAAGTTCAATTAACCTAACAGATGATCTACCGTAAGTCGTCTACTGCTAGTGTTCTGAATATTTTAGCAGATCTACCTTATAATTTTAATATAAAATCATACCAAAGTAAATTTGGTCTCGAAATGGTCAAAATATACATCTTTCTGCAATTCTTATTCATGCAAACGTTATTGGTTTGGTTACATTTGTAGTTTTTCTCGGATATTGCCAGTCACAGACTTTTCAAAGCAGTCCAAATTGGAAAAGATGAAAAGGAGAAACGATCCTTTCTAAAACTTTCCTTTGCCAACAAAGGTCTCGATGCCATCATCTTGGGCAATATCCTTCATCATAAATCAGTTCAATCGAAAATACCTCACTATTTTAAAGATCAGTCTATACCTACCCTTTCTTATACCTATACCAAACCAATTGCAACTAAAATTTTCAATTACAAACACGTGTTGCAGGATCTCAATATTGACGACTTCAAATCTATACCTCCTGATTGCACCTGTGCTAGTTCCCCATTCATATGTAATCCGACTGGCCGCGTTATCACTTGTGACCTAAACGTTGTCAATAACGCTTCTCTGCGAACTGTGTTATCCAAAGGCCCGAAATATCGTGAGCCTTAATTCATCAATTGGAAACTCAACTTCAAAATACTGATGGATTCAGTCGAGGATTATCCCCAGCAATCGGTTTGACGCGCGAAAGAAGAAGTAGATACTCTTTCAGAATGGATCATGGCTGTGCGGTCGTTGATACAAATCAGAGAATTAAAAAAACTGAATGGGTCTATGAATACACATGCTACACCAATCCTTGACCCAAATGTTGCAAAGCACGCAACCTTTCTATCTCCATGACAAATATGTTTTTGTCCCCGCAGATAAAGCCCCAAACAACATTGTTTTGTGGGTAAATCATATTACATAAACTGCTTAATAATGAATTAGGCATTGCCAATTCAATTTGAAACTGAACATATACCCCCACGATACTTACCAATGAGGAAATTCGGAATAATCATAGGTCTGTTCTATGTTCCTTTGGAATTTCAACCAAAGATGAATAACTGGATCTTCCTTCACTGTATTGGATACCTAAATTACATAATGTGTCCTTACAAACAACGTTATATTGCTGGGTCTCCCAAGTGCTCTATGAAACCTCTTTCTTAATTATTAACATCAATTTTATCAGCAATCAAAGTCGGGCTTCAAAGTTATTGTGAAACTACCTATTCTAGAGGCAGCGTGAATCAGATGTGGATACTAAAAAAATCCAAGATCTGTAAGAGTACATTCAATCTAAAAACTCCTTCATTCTGCAGTAGTATTAAAACATTTGACTTTTCTACACTTTACACACGTATTCCCCATTCCAAACTAAAGGACAAATTGAAAGAGTTGTTCCTGCTTTGTTTCATAAAAATAATGGCCAACGTAGATACAAGTATCGTGTCTCAGGGAGGGATAACTCGTACTTTGTAAAAAAATCACTCTGATTCAAACGAAAAATTCTCTGAAACTGACATTATGAAGACGCTTGATTTCTTGATTGACAACATATTTGTTACGTTTGAAGGATGTGTTTTTCAACAAACAAGCGGCATTCCCATGTGAACCAACTGTGCTCCTCTTCTTGTCGACTTGTTCCTTTATTCATAAGAGACTGACTTCATACAGAAGCTTCTTAGGAAGAATGAAAAGAAGCTAGCACTATCCTTTAATTTTACTTTCCGCTATATAGATGATGTCCTCTCACTAATAATTCAAAGTTTGGTGACTATGTTGAAAGCATCTAGCACATCGAACTTTAAAATAAAGGATACATCTAGACATTGACAATTAGGTTCGATCGAGAAAACTAACTTTACGACAAAAGAGAGGAGTTCAGCTTCCAATGTGAACTTTCCACTTCTATGTAGCAACATTCCAGCAGCGCCTGCATATGGAGTATATATCTCCTAGTTGATTCGATATTCCAGGGCTTGCGTTTCCTATCATGATTTTCTTGATAGAGGGTTGCTGCTCACAAGGAAGCTATTAGACCAAGAGTTCCAAGTGGTGAGGTTGAAACCATCCCTTCGAAAATTTTACGGACGCCATCACGAGTTTGTTGACCGTTATGGAATATCTGTTTCACAGATGACGACGGATATGTTCCAATCGTCGTAACCATAATCCCGTACTCCTATTCCCCCGAATGTGACCTACCGAATTAGACATAACACCCGGTTTGTACTAACACGAGCAACACGACGGGTGCCACTTGATGAGCAGTATCTGCTTACCCTTCCGGAGCACCTAAGATCACCCCATGTTTGGTGGGGTTCGTGTTGCTATGTCTTTGGTTTTCTATATTTTGGTTTATATACAGTTGTTTGTCTTTTTGTCTTTTTCTTTTTTTGCCATTGCGTTGTCAGTTTATTTTCGACATGAGTTTGAATGTCCCTTTGGTATCTTTCGCCTCTCTTTTATTATACAACACCATATAAAAGTACAATCTTTTTTTTAACAGAAAATCCTTTATTTTATAAAAATCCACAGAAAATTGTCTTCCCATACTCTAATTCACCGACAGCTTCCCCGTATGCTATGACCTTAACATGACCCATCTCGTTAGGAATTCGACAGTTGCATTGAGCAAATGCGAAGGGAAAACTGTGATGGAAGAAAACATTATTAACTTAAGCATGCTAAGCACATGCGTAACTCATCTCCAGCTAACAGTTGAATTGAAGGTCGCATGAAAACGGATTCAAATGACGTTAAATTATTGACTTGCAAGCCGATAATACATCAACGATATTTTTAAGCATATTTTGACAATATTGAATCAAATTGACAGCTTATATCTTAACATTATTTCAAGATTCCTCTTTGATAAATGTTTGAAAAAAATCCTATTTTAAATTTTGGGTCTTAATCGTAGCTAATGCCCCGTTAAAACACTTTATTTTGAACGCTAGTGTATATAGTTGTCTCATTGGCAATCATGCCATATCTCATTATTTTATATTAATTGACATTTTATATGAGTAGCGGAAAAGGGTGATTTATCTACAACATATAGACAATGTAAATCATGAAATTACACAAACACAATCACTGTGAACCCCAGTATTCACAAAAACAAACATAATTGATGAAAAATTTGGAAATTATTGACATAAATAACAGAACAAAACACCATCCCGAGATCCGCCAACTTTGTTATGACATTATTCCATATTTATAATATATCATACCATGTGTTGCTAACTAGTTTCGCAAGGAATCAGTCACAACATATCATCTTGTACACTAGATTTTAAGTATCATCAACAAAACGACAAGCAGCCCATACCTAAGGCAAAACTTGTTAAATTGATCTCTGGTGGAGAATTGTCTCATTGGCAATTATACCACATCTTCTTATTTTTAGAAGACCACTAGTTCTCCAACAACTAACAAAAAGTACACACCTGTTATACTTACGGACATCAAAGGAACCCGATTTAAACAAAAAT